AGCTCCACATCTAGCTCGTAGGTGGTCTCGTTAGTAGAACGCATACCCCACAGACGATCATTATTCTCTTCTTTTTGCTGCACGTAGATGCACTAGACACACGAAAGCATGACTTGTTTGAAGAATATGACAACGTCATCTCACTTGGTTGCGCTCTGGATTTTGAAAACAGGAGCAGCTCCTTCGGAACTCGACTGACACGTACGTGCGCAGCATGTTTCGTGACGAAACCTGGGTTGCAATAATGCGTCTTCTAGTCGACGTCGATCAGTGCATTTGCACTCCAACAGCTCGATCGGGCAGAAGCTATTTCGGTGTTGTGGGCTTGCTGTTGTTAAACCTATCCATAAATGTCCAATCAAATACGGTTTTAAACATACAATGTAACCTGGACTGTTAACTACAGGTTACCCAATAGGTGTCCTGAACTAGGCAATTAATGGCGGCTGACGAATATCACCCGTCCCTTTACTGATTAGTTTGTTCAATACACACCTACAGCTTGAAGTTAACCTCCAGAGATCAGGGTTTTGAACTCAGCTTTCCTCACATAACACAAAAATCTTTGTGGAAGGCTAAGTTGCAGTTTCATCCTGATACATTTCAAGCGTTCATTTTGTCCAAGAGAATCAAAATTGCATGCTTTCGCGAATATACTTTGTTTCGAATAGCATCTTTGACGGCTTCTAATTGTCTTTGATAGAAACACTGTCTAGTACGGGACAGTAAAGACGAAATACCGTGGATGGTTCACTAGGATTTAAGTAATTACCCCAAACAGAATGTTGCACATCAGTCATTTCCCCATAGTGGTAACCGCTAACGTCAAATTAATTGGTCCTAATTAAAGATTAAGAGGATACTATCATAAAGGTGAACATTACGGACAATAGTGGGAGAAAAGTCTGAAAGGACTGTAAAGCTATATTATCATTATATTCATTATATTGAGAATCATCCACAGCACGCATCTCTTCAGTTTCCAGGGTGGTCGGAACTGATAACATCCAGACTAGTACCTGAAGGTTGAACCGTTCAAGCATGAGCGTGAATAACTGGCACTTGGTATGTACCACCATTCATCATCCAATGACGAGATTCGCATCACGGAATAACTTGCTGACTGTCTCCTCAAGTGACAAACTATCAGATGGAAGGTTCATTCGACCGGTGAATGATTGTGTCCTCTGGGTTACTTAGAAGCTTTTGAGAATGCAAAAATGTTTGAAAATTTTTAGTTCAACTCTTATTCTGTAGCCCTCAACAACTAGCAGAGAATTGTCTAATCCCTCTGAAATTTCCTGACAACCCCGTTGCTGGTGCATCCTAGCAATAACTGCAGTTGTACAGCGCTTCTGGGTTTCCATAACAGATTTATTTGACTCACAGAAGCCTAAATGATAAGTGCTGGACTTCCTCAAACTATCAATAAGTAAAATTGTAAATTTTCGATTAGGTTTATCCTGAATTTGACAAACTGCCAACGACCTCCAAATCGTCTTGCTATTCATGAAGGCATGGCTGAGTAAGAAATATGTGACCTCAGCACTCATTAGATTACGTGCATGTAAACTATCCAACTAAGTCGAATAGAAATTTTGCATAGATGAGACAGCTTAGTGAGGCTATCAAATACAGCGAGATATTTCCATGCTTTTGTCACTAATAATAACTTTCTACTCCATTGATGCGAGCTGACGCCTCTCGCCATGAAAAAATAAACTGATAGACGAAACTTACGCACACATTATTCCTCATGACAAAACTAAATTGAAAGCCCTTGGTCAAAAATAGCAACGAAGACAAATTGGGATGTTGGGTGTGGTTTGAACAATGAATATTATTCCTAAAGACTTAGCGAAGTTTCCTATGTGTCGCTGAAGTAACGAAAAAACAAATCGAATGTCATTTCAAAGAACTAACAGATTCGCCTAGCGTGGAACAGTGTTTCCCGACTAAGGGCGGGATAGCTTCTTGCACCTTGTGATGATGCACCCTGTGGCGGTTGTTTTTAACGTTATCTTGAGGTCTGTTGATAATATGGCGGAATTTCTATCGTCCATCAAGTGATGCTAGTCTGTACCGAAGGGCACCGTGCAGCTGTTTCACACATACTGGGCATACATGGTAGTGCGCATCCCACGAATAGGTAAAGAAATTCAATCACGCAAACCCTCAGCAAGGAGCTGGGGACTAAAGAATTCGACCACCAGTAGCCGATCAGCTGTGGGATCAACTCGCATGTAAACAGGAGTTCACATCACGTGGTCGCGTGTTGAGTGGTTCACTCAGTAACAACTTCCCAGATGGAACATTGGCATGTGTGAATTATTATTCCTTCTGATGTATGCCTACCTGCACCAAATCTGCTTGGCTCGATGATTGCATCTATACAGTCCAATCTCAATTGTTGGGTTTGTTTTTCTCACCTTGGAAGTCCCTGTAAGCCTTCTTCTCAGAAGGCTATTTAGACGCTACATATCCAGTGAAGCCTCTCGTTCTAACTCGCTCAAACATAACCGAGTCTGTTTGATGGAGGAAAATTTTTTCACACGTGTACATTTTCTTAACGAATATAGGTTGGGTTGAGAACATCAAAAACGAGAGATTCGGTTGGTTTCCAGGTAAGTCCTCAAAAAACAGAGATTCAGCTGGGTTCCAGGTAAGTCTCTCAAAAAACCAAATTAGTTTGCAAATGAGAGTATATTCTCTAGGTTTGGTTTTGTTTCGAGTGGACTAACACCAGTTTATTTGGAAGAAATATACCATTGTCGAATAGACCGGGCTGATCGGAGTTGCAGACTCCTGAGTCTAGATTTTACGGCCAGCTCCTTGTTCCGATTTTCTGCACTAGCCGCCTAATACAGTATAACCCAACCGAAAACATCCATGTGTTTATACTAAATCCCCCTAATGACGACGGGTTAGTAAAGTCCAGCTCCAACCAATACAGTGTTAATAGATTTCTCGTGTATTCGTATGCATGTGTGTAGTCCGGAATGAGCAAGTTGTTTACATCCAACATCTCAAAACACCCCTTTGTACATCCTCCGTTCCGCAGCCATTGTAAACAGGTGTCTGCTTGGGTTGTATCTCCAACTAACAACTTATCCTCTTCCGGTTCGTCAATTTACAGTTCAACTAATATGAACTGCTTCGAGTAAGAGAAGGCAATCTATCACCTAACCGAGTCACTGTGATCATTAGGATGGAAAGCCCATCCTACATTTCACATATTCGTCGACGTAGTTTAGTTGACAACAAATAAATATAGCTGCTTGAGCCTGCAGAAAACGTGGCAAGTAGTTAGGTGAGTTTTTCCTCAGTTAGGACAAAGTTCGCCGAGTTGACGCTGAGACGTCGTTTTACCTCGAAATGTAAATCCAAGTGAGGCCCTGACGATCGACCAACACTAACCAGGTCTGAGAACATGAAATTCCATAACATGCACAATCAAGTTACCTCGGTGCTTAGAAAATGGACTCAGTTTGTTTAGTCACTCTCACGATCGGTTGTTTTCCGTACGCAGCTGTGAAAATGAAGGGAGCATGTTGATATACCGTGGCCTATGTCTACAAAAATTGTCGTGTATACCGACCGATCAAGCGGTCTGTTCTTCCCGAATTTTCTGCAGTTAAAGCAGAACACAATTAGAATATACTTTTTTGTTCCGGAAGATAAAATTTAACCCCATCTACATGAGCGCTGGTCTATATTGGAACTCTCGGAATAAGTTTGGTGCAAGGAAGTTACTGAAAACTCTAATAGCACACGAACGGTTTCTGCCTTCTTATTGGTCATCAGGTACGTGCAGTCCCCAAGGTTTCCTCAAATTCATATTCTAATTGAAGCCAAACTGTAAAAAATTCGCCAAGTAAACTCACATGCGCACTTTCTTTCTGGTGGGAGGCTCAAGTGAACCTCAATCGAATTTCTCGTTTATGATATTCCTCACGAATTTTGTGCAATTTGGGTTGACGGGAACTCGCGAATCGTGCCTATCTGTTGAGACCTGATAAGAATGAAACCGTTCATACGCTGTCGAAGAGATTCCAGCAACCTCATAAGTAGTGTTCCCTTAAGAAGAAGTTCCACAGTATCTGAAATGCCACGTCAAATCGATTATGAAAAAACCCTTTTAAAGCATATTAACAACGAGAGATTAAGCCTGGACACAATCGAGTTTTTGTTAAAACCAGCTTGGTATCTAAAGGAATATATTTCGCGAGAATTACTGGTCGTTTCAGAGAATTTCGTTCAACAATCCATCGGTTGTTCACCAAGTATCTCCAAAAAGCTGGCTCCTCAACCATCACCAAATCCTTTCCAGTTGACCGAAACCTGCTGGCCCCTAATAGATGCGATTGAAATGCTAAAGGCGTTCTGTTCTTGCTGTATACTGTGGTGTGATAAAAGGCTATACGGTTTTAAGTGATTCGGCAGAAGTCAGTATTAAACGGAGTCCTTTTTAGGCCTACCCCATTTACTTTTTAATAACATCGAAAAGTGTCCCCAATGTGCTCGAAAGATATCTCAATCAGGACTTGTGATATCCCAGAGTCATCAACCTGTTCTAACCTGTCGCTCCTCGAGCTGGACTATACACTGACTCTTAATTCCGTTATTTACCAGCTATGCGAAATCACGACTTCAGTTTAGTTACCTGTGAAAGATCCTAAATGCAGAGTTGCTGGCATAATTGTTTCACATAAATAAAGAATAACGAAAGATCCTAACTGTGTTCCACCATATTTCCTTGAATATAGTGAAAACTACATGATTGGCAGGTTGAGCATGCATTACCTTAGAAATTTCGATGCCTTGACACAGGTTGGCCATTCCAGTTGTCTATTATTGCTGGTAAAGCACAGTCACAATTTCGTCAATTCTGGACAAAGGGACCAGTGTCTAAATTTATAGCAAACCAGATCTAGTTGGAAAAGCACCACTAGGAATGCCCCAATCATTGTAATGTGTAGGATAAAAACACCGTCGATAGCGCTAGATTTAATGAAGAAAGCAAGACAGCCGTATGACATTTTCGTATCTTTTCTCTTGGGCCTGGTTTGTTCAATATATGGCGGTTCGCAACTTCGCGAATGAACAGGCGAATGTTGTGAGAATGCTTAAAAAGAAGAAAAACGGAGAAACCACATGCACGGGTGAGATACAGCCTCAGCGGTCCGATGAAATCTGGGTCCCACGGTAACTTCATCGACCTCTGCCTGAACCATGTCCGACCGGAAGGACGCGGCTCACCAATAGTGTTGTTTAACTAAGTTTGTAAGTATGGCGTTACCCAGTTACACATGGGATTTTCGCGAACGTAGCTGCTGATCTTGCTAACCGTAGGTGAGAGAAGGTTTCCGAAAGACAGAACAAGTAACATTGTTTACATGATTGGACAACCAGTGATGGCGCAACAGTATTACTGTCGCGGTCTGTTGTAAGTGACTGGACCAGTATATCGGTAAACAGGTCGTAATTCCTGCGTTCTGAAAGGACTTGGCGACTGTTTGTGTGCCCTTCGAGGCTGTCTTTCCTGCCTAGTGTTCCTAACCTGGAAACTCATGCTCGGCAAACTGTGTATCTGGCGATAAGTTCTAAATGGTTGCGCGCGTCTCGATGCGGGATAACGCGTTCTCAATGCCGTAGCAGGCAGATGATTTTGTTGCCAGGCGGGGGACGCTTTTGGTTTGCCTGGTCGAACAACTTTATTCATGATCGTGAATTCCGGTCGACTAGTAGGCTGAACTGAACTCACGTGCCATCTACTACCAGCAGGATACGAAATTCTGTCCGGACCAGAATCATTTTCTCTTATTCGTCTTGGGGGAGAATTACTCGCCAGCCGACTCCTAGCAGTTTGATCTGGAATGGTTTGACCATTAACGTTAGGTACTTGTGATCTGGTTTCTGCAGGTGGGGTATGAATGCTTGGTTCAGAGTAGGCGTAACTGAACCTCCACAGACCATGGTTCTGAGGGCTTGTTCGCACTTCATTGTAGCCACGATCCTGTCCTTTGTCATTGTGTTGTCTATAGGTTTGGCTTGCCGTTGAAGTTACCGAATTCGAATGCCAAGTTTGTGGTTGTGTATGTTGACGAAGATTTTGTGATAGCTTTGGTTTTATCTCTTCGGAGAAGTACCGTATGCGCCCTGTACCCCATGCAGGCGGGAACAAATATTGATTACCGTAGACTGGTGGATACTGTTGAAGCATTTCATTTTTTCCATAATAAACGGAAGATTTGGATTGGATCAGGGGAGTGTTTGAAACAAATTTATTAGCTGGGTCTGGTGGACTGAATCCATAAGGCACCATTTGATACTGCGCTTGAAAACCTTTGTCTCCAATGGTATCGTCACTCACAAATTGTAAGTACAGATGTCCCGACTGAGCGACGAACGTATTAGGAAGCTGAAAATGTAAAGAGAAAATGTTGAGAATTACCAACAGTTTTCGGCGTTTAACTGGATCCCAAGTTACATGTGTACATGTCATCTAAACATGTCTGACGAGCTGGCTGGTTTTACTGAAAACGAAAAGTCCATGGGGATATCTCACGTGTGCGACCAAACAAAAGTACAATGGCAAAATATTCAGTCTCCGAGTACTTTCAGAGATTCAGTCAATAAATTCTGTTTTTGGCAGAAAATTTCCTCTCGAACGTAAAAAGGAAAAAAGATTGCGTCACTTTCATTCGGTATGGTGAACAACACATGTCCATGGAATGTGAGACCTGGGTCAAAATGTGTTCAACTATTTTAGTATAATGGAAATCGCCCTTCGGATTCTATGCTGTCTGAGGTGTTTACACACATTTCAGGGTTGGAATGGTCTTGTGATTGGAATTAGAAGGCAAACTTAAAAACAGTTCGGATCATAAATTTAGATGAATGCTTCTTTCTAACTGCTACAGTTGTTTCTGCGGTGAAAAGAGCTTTGGGTCGTACACTGGATATATATATATATATATATATATATATATATAGAGAGAGAGAGAGAGAGAGAGGGACAAGATGTCAAGTTTAATGACACTCGTGGTTTCACATGTTTGGAGTTAGAGTTAAATAATTTCAGTTTATAAGGTCTGTCAACCGTATAGCACATACAACTCATTTATGCGTTCATTAATGCTTACCTCATAAAACCGAAGGCTATTCAGAATTATACAGTCATGCATTTGAGGAGGTTCACTAGGGTCAATGGAGAACCCATCCCAAGCTGAAGTTATGTGCTTCCCATTTAAAGATATTTACGTTTGCGCACTAGCGTCTGTTGTTGATGCGCACTGCTTCAGAAACTTTTATAGAGTATCTACATGGCCTCAGCATACTCACCGAGCCATTCTTTCCTGTATACGCACCGTCAAGACGTCTGGTCAGGTGATTCCTATACGATGATTCCATTATGAAAAAACTCGTAATCAGATAAAACGTTTCTTTCGGTCTCTGTTTCCCAGCTTTGTCGTCCTGTGCAGAACATCTTACTCAAAGGAATGCGTAGTCAAAAGCTTGGCCAATATGGTGAGCCTTTCATGATAAAGCCAGATACTTCATGATTTCATTCCGTCAATTCTAATCATATGATGATTATCAGTTCCCCAATAGGTCTTAACGAATACTTATTTATGCATTCCAGATATTTTCGAGCCTGTGGTTTCACTAAGTCAAGCCCCGGTCAGACTGAATCAAAGCTAAATCGAACTCGCTGACCGAGCGAAGTGACTGTTAGATAGGTGGCTGTAACGACGAAGCCCCGAAAGATATAAACGAAGAATCATGTAACCAGTCTCTCTCCGTCAGCGTATGGGGCCCAGAAACTCAAAAACTCTCCGGTTTTATTGAAATGTTAGGGATTTAAACGTATATTTTATCACGGACAACTAAGGTGAAAAATACAATGTCATTGTCAGGTTACTGATTAGTTTTCATTCGTGTGGAAGGTGCTCCCTTAAGTGAGCAATGCCATCAAAACGTTGATCAAATGGCATACGACGGACTACATATTCACAAATAATTGGTCTGTTCGTTGCCTGACTGGTGAGAAATCAGTCCCATCAGTGACCACAACCGTTTATATGTTTAACAGATACTACAACTAAGCACCTGGTGACTGCAGCTGGTTTTGACCCACAGATCTCCTGGACGTAGCCAGTCAGGCCTTAGCAACCACATATTGTGCATTGGATGCGCTGACACTGCAGCATTTAGCAACCATTCTGGTCAGTTTCCGTAAATGTATACTAATCTCATCTGTCCACATGCCTGCACTCCAAAGGTTTGCTATCACATCCTTGCCTGGCTAATTATTTTCCCATTTTCAGGAGCTCAACTGAATACAGCACCCACTTACTGATGAACGACGTGTGCCGATGCATTTTCATGGGGTTAAAGGGGAGGACCTGATGATCTTCAAGTAGTCCACCGAACAGGTTGACCATAAAAACTTGCAGCAAGGCACATAAGGACCATTTTATTTTACACAGTCACTCGATCTTTGCAAGTGTAATGGCAAGTGTCCACCTATGTCCCTCCACCACTACATGAACCAAGAGGATAAAAGTTGCAGACAACCCCTTTGATCACCACACCAATATCGGTAATTGAACAGACAGACAGGTGCGCTGTGTGTTTATGTGAATGGGGTCGAATAGGAAATGCGATAGAGGGATGGGGCTGATAATGAGTCGCACGATTCGGAGGTAACTCCGAGAACAGTTATTTCTTTCCACTGATTTTCCGAAGGCGACTGCTAGGTATGGGATGAGCGTGCGTTTTGGTCCTTTGTTTACTGAGACACCGGATATGGTCGTCAACGTGAACACCATTCCTAAATATACGTACACACACAAGCACACAGAGGTAATTTTTAACAGAAAGGTGGATGTTATGTCTCCCTGACCACCATGAGTTGAAGATACCAATCCCATGCTTAATTAATTTATGCACTGTGACAATGCCGAGTTGTCAGCAAATTCATCCCCGAGTTTACGACTGCCATTTGCCGGTTGGTGTTTCGGATAAGTAGCTATACACGTGGGCCAGGATGTTAGTGTTTGTGTGCGCACTTGTTCATTCGTGAACGGTGACGACGTTAACTGTGCTCTCGGATTCAAAACAGTATGCTCCAATTTTCTGGAATTATTAGTTAGTCCGGTTTCGCTCACAGTAAATAAGTAAGCAGGATTTCTTAAGAATATATGCCAGCGAAAATAATCTCTATACGGAATCGAAGTTAATTATGGCAACAGCCAAGCTGAAGCTTTTTACCCACTGGTCTGTGTTTTTGGAAAGTCGGCTTATTATAAAAGACTAAGTTGTGATAGTCGAATGGGTGCACCTTATAACTGAATAGGGTTAAAGTGGAGGACGATTTTAGTTGCAGTTAGGCTTTATCACGACTAGAAAACAAGATAAGTGTAGGTTGTTTTACAGTTTGGAGGCTGCTTATGAAAAATCTCTTCATGGATGCGTAAACACACTCAGAACACTCATTCGAGATTACCAAGTGACCGAGCACAGAGATTTTCGCGTGCTCATCTATCTGCTCGCGAACACTTAACGCAGCAATCTGAAGTAATTTACGTTAGAAAAATTTCTCCATTCATAGTGCTAATTCACACTATTCATACTTTCATGATAGCACCCTTATTAATTCTTACTGACTCATCTCGTGGAAAAGGCTAATAACGTCAGTCCACACTTCCCTTCGCCAAACGAACCAAAGGTTTTCCAGTTTCTTCTGCGTGGCATATTTCCGCTGGCATGACGTCTAACTTTAGAATAGCCGTTCCCACATACGTCAGCCACCTGACTAATTCCCTTAACTACATTCCTCACACTTGTACATCCATTCACATTTCTGCATCCACTTCCGAAAAACTGCATACATATATTCTGTTCAAAAGTCGAGTGCAACCTCCTGACTCTGGGTTTCTTCCCCAGTCCACACTCCCAGTTTCGTTTATCAAAGAATGTCGTTCAACAGAGAGGCGACGAAGTGGAAAATAAAATTCATATGAAAAGCTAAACGAAACTTATCTGAAGTGTGCTCAGTTCCAGCTGAGAATAGCATCAGGTATAGCACCGATATATTATCACATGTCCCATATTCAAAGACTAAATGAAGTCGATCAGAATAGCGATAGGGCAATATTGCAGATTAGACAACGACGCAACGTAAACAGGCCTATCTTAGCTCACCAACTTTATCTAGTAAACAGTTACAGTTTTTGCTGAGTTTACGCCGGTCTATCAGGTGAAACCTAAACCATCGAAAGCTCCTTTGGAAGGCTCACTGCAATCAGTCTTCAGATCTGAGCTTCGTGTGCAAAAGTCGTCTGCTCATAAGTTGAATCCCGACTGATGAAACAATTACCTATTGGGTTCAAGTGACTTCTTCGTAACCCTGACCATTGATCATAGATTTTAACCCATTTGTCATTTAATGGTTGCTTCGGGAAGAATAATGAGGAGGTACTTTCAAAGAAATCCCATAAGATCTTTGAAAGAGTCGTTTCGTGTGACCTACCAATGTCTGATCGTTTGCGGTCAGAGATTTAGCCCTTGTTTCAATGTTTTGGAACGGAGCATGAATACCTATTTGCGGCAGTCGAATATGGTTAGAAAGTGTAATTTACTGATATCGGAGCAATATTACTCACGTTTCTTCCACAGTATCCGCCCAACAGCTTTCCTTTTGGATCCAAGCCGTCGAAGATTCTCAAGTAATCATACCTACGAAGCAAAATATAACGACAGGCTGAAAGTGATTGACAATTCTGTGGTCGCAGTGAATCACACTTCACAATCTTGACACAGGGCACAATATCCACACAGTGTATGGTGCAAATTTGGGTTTTGCTGTATGTGACTATAAAAACACTCTTAAACTCGGCCAGTGTGGTCTTTGATAAGAAGAATCAGTGTTCCAGGTGTTAATTGACAATCCTGCCTGATGAGGTGCACATTTTGACAACTTCCACACTACTGACAAATATGTAAGTAGGTGCGGAGAATGTTGTGTTGGAGCATGCGAAGTGAATTCTAAGCACGTTAACACTGTGCGAAGGAAATTGAAACCGACTGGCACCGAACACGTTAGACGCATTTCGAGATTCGTACCTCTAACAAATAAAAATTAATCGTCAAACGTTTGCTGATCAACAACGCAAATGCAACAACATACAATGATCTATCGGAGGTACATAATGTGTACACCGACCAAGAAGGAAAACAATACAAACGGAGCTATATTTCTCACCGATATCTAAAAACGAAAACAAGACCAAACAGTAAGCTTTAACAGAGATTAGTTACTTGAAGATACAGGTAAATTAAAAATAAATTCAGTAGCACTTGAACGAAACTACACTGGCTCCGATCTTCGAGTATTCGGAGGACAAGAGCCACATTATCGCTCACGACTTTAAAAAAATAGAATACAATTGTTCAATTCCACAATTGGCCTTGGTTTCCTAGGTCCAAGTATTTTGGAAGCATTCATGTGAGAGTGTAAAGTACAGCCGATTTTACCGGTCTTATCATCCCACCTTCGATTGGGTACCCAAAACTTATGATATCTGCTCAGCATGAGTCCAACGTTCCGACACGTCAGTTATGCAGTCTGTGTCAGGAAGCAAATCTCGCAGTTTGCGTACCACATACAACTGCACGTCGGCATTTGTGAGTAACGCTGCCCACGAATGGCGACAACACTGGGGGGCTTTCAGTTGAAAAAATGACATGCAGTCACTTTCAGGGGCCAGTCAGAATAATCTTATCTTGATTTACATTACTAAGTTGCAGACAAGCCCCAAGCGCTAACAGCTAAGTACAGCAGACAAAAGATATTGAGCGTATACTGATGTGAAACCTAATAAACCGCAGTGACATTCACTATAGAGTCCGATCAGAAGAAGGTCAAAGATGCATTACAATGCTCAGTATCATTCAGCCCAGGCTGAACTAAATCAGTGGGGCATTGTGATCTTCACCATCATTATCAATTGAGACAGCAACATTAGTATGACACTCATGCTTGAATGGGGAGGAGAGCTTGATCAAACCTGTTACAAGCATTATGCGATGCCTAGGCTTCCAAGCGAACAATCAGTTAAAGTGGCAATAAACTGACAGGACGAACACCACCAAAGTCCGATAGCCTCCATTTCTTGAAGAGTTTCTAATCACACACAGAGGGGGGGGGATGAAAGGCCCATTCTGTAAAAGGTACCGCACCGATATATCTAAAATTTTCGCAGTCTCATCCATACTATTTTGAAAAATCATATGTTATCCATCTCGTAGTTTTCAACATTCTCAATGTGTCATAGAGTTCACGCAGATGTTGTAGAAGGGGCGACATGCACTGGTCGGCTCGGCCATCGGTAACCGATGGTAATATGGTATATTTAGATTTGGATCTAGTTCACTGATTGACACTAGTCAGTCAGTAGTCAGAATTTTCCTGCTGTTTTAACAAATGGTACCATAATAGAACATCTTCCACAGGCGCTCTCTTTTGCACGTTTTGTGTCCAACTCAGGATGACCACTCAGTCCGGCCTCAGTAGCGCTTAGCTTACCTGTCTTAAGGACCACGTCACAAAAATTTCTGGGCTTTAAACTGAGCAAATAGGGTGTCTCTGGCGGATTCAGAGCATCATTTCATCAGGGAATTGGCAGACGCAGTAAATGGGGAGCGATAGGCCTCAAATTCCAAAAATTACTTCATGGATGTTGCCGGATCAAGCCTGCAAATGCGACCGCCAACAAGTTTTCAGTCAAGTAAAGCCCCTCTAATCGATGGCTCAGTACAACACCCATCCCGGCATATCCAGCAGCAGCAACCCGCAATTCACCAGGACTGCGTAGCTGGAAAAGGAGAGACACCGAGGAGGCGGCAATTCGATCACAGGGCTTGCTTACCGTAACCTTGTTTCTGATGGACACCACAGATCGATGTACAGAGAATCCAGTGTAGAAACAAGAGTTGCCTGCTATCAATCTTGCTTCAGTGTGCGAACATTGAAAGCGTTTAAGTTGACCGGCTTAAGGGGTTTGAAAACAGACTTAGAATGGAGAGCGAATGTATAAAAGCTTCAGTTGAGCGTGATGCACCACAAGCAACGCAGTTAGTCCTGGCGGTGGAACCTGCAGAGGATGTTCAAATTGGGGTGGGGTAGGGCAGAGGAGGGAACACAAAAGTCTGCCGTAAAAGTGGTGTGGTCACTAACATGGTTTCGCTTAGCCGCCCTGCTGAATGCAACATGTAAGGCGACGATAGATGTTGCGTGACAACATTTTTAGTTGTGACACTCAAGGTTGTATTTGGACTGGGATATTGTCAGGGCACCCATATCTAGACTGGAGGACAATTAGATTATTCAAAGATTTTGGTTCAAAAACCTGAAATCAAGGCAACGAGTGAGTACTGGCATGCTACTAGATTAGTACAAGTCTTTCAAAGAACAATTTAACCTACCCTTCTCAAGTCCCAACCTGAAAGACCAGGAGACAATTTCCGTCAGAGCACTATACACTGACCGAGATGACATGAAAACCTCTGCGGTTTTCATTGTGAAACCTTCCAATATGGTTCACTGGGTCATAGATTTACACAGGCCGCCACACCGCCAAAAAGACAGTCTTTGCAGCGGTTTAGTCGGGTCACTCCCTCAAAGATACCAAACAGTTAGCTGTTAATTTCGAAGAACGAAGAACACCTAGGCAGTCGAGTTCAACGACTCCTCTTTGACTGCCTACAATAGATGAGCACACACCTGCATACTGTCAAGGAAACTAGTCTTTTCACATCAACTTGATCAAGAAAGAGAACTCAGTTATAGAGACTGGGTTAAGCTGGCTTTAGTAAGCCTCACCAAACGCAACTACAGGCACAATGGCAATGCATCCGTCAGTGGATATTTCGGACTAGCCAGGTCGGAGGCTATTCTCTGCGAAGTTACGAAATGAATGTACAAAGTCTCACACTTCAGTTGAACAGGTGCTGATGGCATGACCAGGAACAGGTTGGTATCTTTCACGCTGATTGGAGGATCAATTCTTAGTGAGAAGTTAATTCACCGAGAAAGCTTACGTGCATAAGTTTTCCTCTTCTACTTCAAAGTACAAAAACCGCAGCATGACAGTCTGATTTTCCAGTTTGGAGCTGATAGACCAATAGCACTGCTGATTGGGTTCATAGTCCAAATCTCCGAATTTAGCGTGAGAGTACAAATTCTGAGCATTGTCTTCAGCAACTAAATGTCCACCACAAACTGCAGATCAGAGGGAAGGAAAAGGGGTGAAATCTAAGGCACAGGCTAACTGAAAATGCATCAGTTAGATGACACACTTTCAGGGTTACGAACTAGTGCGGCTACAAAAAGACTCTATAAAATACCGGGAAACTTTCAGAAATTTCTCATTTATAGGAGGAGAGAACCATTATAAGCCGTTTATATAGCATAGAAATGCGTTAAAAGAGAAAATAGTTTTCTTAAAAACGGATTACCCCACAGTGTCGTGTGTTGTTTTATGGGATGTCTGCGCGTTGTTAATCTCAAAACATCTTGATTTTATCTAACACAGTGACTTCTGTTTGTATGCTTTGGTGTTGAATTCATCATCGGCACTAGAAATTCACACAGGAAGTGTTGTTTCCACCGTTATTGTCATGAACGAGTCTTAAAGTAAAGTAATTTCTGAAGGATCTAAGAGAATATTCTGCTTTTGACAGCTTTTTCATCTCATATTCCGCTTAACCTGTGGTGCGTAGTGGGCTACAGCTAAAGATTTACCCGTAACTCTAACTTTTCTTGCGGCATTCGTTTGTGCAAGCACCTTTTATACTTTCGCCCCTTTTGGTGAGACAGAAATATCCAGAGGTATCAGCTGTGCCATTTAGGCTGCGAGTTCCAACCACTTCTCTTGCGTTATTTTTCCTTTGTGTGATACAAAGCACTAGCCTTCTGTTAGTTAAGTGTGGGTAATAAAAAGCATAGCCAAAATATAATCTTCCAGGCAGTTCCAGACAAATGAAAAAGTCAGATTGGCAAGTTCATCTAGCGGATACTGTTAAGTCTGCCGAAAGATCTTGGAAACAGTGAAACCTGCGATCGAAAACCAAAACAATTATAGTTTTGGTATCCAGAATTTTCTCGCAGTTGTTAAAGACAGGGATATTGTTAGCTGGATGGCAATGTGGTTTCAAACTATCCTTACCCAAACATGGTTGGATAGCTATTGCGTCATTGTGTGGCTGAGCGTCAGTAATTTGTTTAACTGATCTGCCACACGGCAGTACACTGAATTTGACGTTTCAATTGACGATAGAACGATTGCGGTGGAAATGCCCAGTCCGAGAGCTGAACAAAGGCCAATCACTTCAGTATTCCTGACATCATCATCGCAAGTACAACCATACTGAACTATTTTTGTGAAATAGGTTCAGAGCTATTGTAGAAAGACGAATTCATGAAAACAAATGTGGAACTCTATCAGCAATAAGACTGCGATTCAGCTCTCATTGATACATTGCACAAATAACCTGTATCCAGAGTAAAAATCTCAAGAACTGTAGGGCATTCAAAAATAGTTAGCGCCCACATCACTCTGGTTTGATCAACCGTCCTCCTGACCTACCACAATCATTCTGGTGAGCTCACATCAAAGGGGGAGCACTGGAGTTCCGCTCTTATTAGGTCTCGTCATCAGGAGTTTAAACTCCGCACATCTGACGTGTCAGGCTAGAGTGCGTCCACTACTCCACCAGCACACGCTCGACGCAATTGAGTTTTCACCCATGAAGTGGTGACCATGTTCACCCTCAAATGATGAGAGTGACCGGCCCGACACCTCGAACGACGACTCAGTAACGTGCCTTAGTTACGTCGGTCGATTGGTCCGCCTGTCAGGATTTTCCAGTCAGGTAGCGTAACAGATGCTTGAAACCTGCTGGATGTTATTTTGTTTAGATATGTCGCACGTCAGATCTCACTAGCTGAAACCCCGGCACGGCGATGAGGTCTATTAAGAGCAAAACTCACCAGAATGATTGCGCCAGGTCAGGATGTTGGCCTTTCAAACAGGAGTGATTCGAGTGTTCATTCTAACAATCCCACAGCCACCTTTAACTAAATTCAAGAAGGCACCTCTATTACGACAACTGTGAAAGTTTTCCATTTAGAATAGATTCTTACCTGTTGTGTGTTGTGCACGGAACCCCTTTCTTTGCACCGAAGAATCAGAAGTAAAGGTTAACAGCAGCGTGTTCTGTGATGATATGATTGGCCCCGGTTTGCGACTGCCACAGTACTGGCCCAGAACGTTGTCTGTTTTGGAGAGACCATCGTAAGCCACTACACGATCATACGTGCATTGCTGATGCGACTCAAGCTCGAAGTCGGCAAAAATCTAAATGGTGACAGGGAAGACATAAACCATATAGGCTACGGCTTCACTGATCAAGCTGGACCCCAAAATATCTACAAGCAAACTGGTGGTAAAGTGGGCATCGAAGTTAGCCTCTTAGGGATTGGAAAATGGATGAATAGCATTCAGCAAAAGCTGTTGGGTCCTCAGTCAATGGCAAACGCGAAGTTGTCGACTATGTTCATGTGGCTATTAACTTAAATATATGCCAATTCCATAAATTGTTTTCTAGTGGATTTCTATGTCATGCTCACTGATGTTTGGTGAATTTAATTCAAGAAAAAACAACCGTGCATTACGCAAACGTGGCTGTGCAAACATTGTCTGGTTTTAAAAAAATATTATTCAGGACTTACGATTTTGACTCGATGACCCGGAGTAACGGTGATTTTCCATTGGCACTGCTGCTTCACAGGATATTCGTTTGGCCAATTAGGGGTGATTATCTCCCCATCAGGAGAACTTATCTCCTGTTGGCATCCGGTTTTAACGTCTGATTAACGGACACGAGAGATGATAATGTGATATGAAACATCTTGTTTTCCAAACAGATAAATCGTGAATACACTGATTAAGGGAACTGGATGTAAACCTTATTTCTTGTTTTCTTTGGGGGAGGGGTAATTTATATCACTGACAGCAATACCGCAGGTATGCAATCCCTGTCTAAATGTCATACGACCATGGAGAAAGAACGTCAGAAAGCATAGTGTAATGGAAGTTAAAAGATGAATGTATCATACACGGAATATTATATCTCTCAAACCCAAAACCCTTAGAATAGGTCCAAATCCGATGAATCATCCCAGAATGTGCTCAGAACAGAATCTTATCAATATGAAAGGCTTTTTTCCTGCCCTGATTATCATCAATTATTCGTTTATACACAAATTCTTTGCGAACAATCTTCAGTCAGCTGACCTGCCATGAATAAAAGCCTCAGAAAAAATCTCTGAAGTTTAAGGTCATCGGATCTATTAGGCCAGGTTTCACAACCATAAAATAAGGTTTGCACCACATTTACCACGTGCACATTGAACTTTGCTTTTGCTGTCATAAATGACACGAGTTGACAACTATTGCCTACGCCTAGAAAACGCATGCTTTGACTTATTGTCACTTGTAGTCGCGACCTACGCGAGTAGAACGGTAAACGAAATCAATTTTTCTCCCTCTGAAGTCTAAGAAAAGTGTACATGTTTGAAACTCCTGAAGTAGTTCTTCGCACTTTGAAGGGCGTACACCAAATTTCTCAGAAATTTTATTGGGGATAGACTGGGGAGGAAACAAAATAACGTTACGCTTGTTGTGAGAATTTCGCTGACAAGACTGAGCAAGAAGTACAAGAGTTGATCTTCACATATATCAACAATATGTAAAAAAGCATTTAGATAGTTCATTGTAACCTTTTACAGAACTGAAAGTAACAGTCTTTGAAATACGTATTTCTTGCGGGAGATACAATTCTTAGGGATACTTGGCTTCAGGGAAGCTGCTTAAATTCACTTCCAAGTTATAAGCTCAGCAACTTCAAATTACTGTCTGAATAAGGTAATATTTGACAGCAGGATCACTGGCACCTTGCTGCAGTTAACAATAAAAGTAATTGCAGTATTACAAGCAATCTAACTTCACTTTCATACAAAACAGCTGACTGATCTACAGCAGCTGACTTTCCTGGAAAATTTTTGAGTGGTTTTTTTTCAACAGATCAGTATCCTTCTCAGATGATTTCGCACCTAAACCGCCAGCTGGTCAAATTGGGCAGCTGCGGTGAGCAAGTTATTCGCAACATTCTAGCCGAGAAGGATATAGCTTATGTTAAGATGACCTGGTCTTCTTTTCATGAACAGCACTGGAGTGCTACTGTGTGGAGTTTCTCAGACCTAAAATGAAATTGCACAGCTGCGTCTTGATCACTTTGGTACGTGCATCCCTATCTGGGAGATGTCGAGGAGAACATACCGAAATAAATATGGTTCAAGCAGTATATTAGTAACACAACGTGTTTTTTGTGAAAATGGTGCATCCTTTTTTCAGAATAAAAGTTTGACGACAGATAACAAATGGACTGGTTAACCTGATAGCTACTGTTCCAGTAAAACTACCCTACTGTATTGCTGATTCCAAGAATTACATCAAATTTCGGAGGATCAGAAACCAAGTTAGTATAGCAGAGTTGAAAGATTCAAATATATCGAATGGTTTTTTCGCGATCAAAGGTTCAACTTACTCTCTTTACACTGATATTTCCCGTGAAGTTGATATCCAGGTCGACAAGCGCAGTGGTACGATCCAATAGTATTCCGGCAAATGTGCTGGCAGCCTCCGTTGTTGTCAGCACACTCATCTCGATCAGTGAAGAAGACAGCTCGGAACCCTGTGCGCTGGACCGATGTATCTGAGTAAAATTCAATACTCAGCTCATTTGTGTGAGAGGTTATGGGGTCAGGGATTTGGTCACCGCAAAAGTTCCCAATTTTCTGTTGGTTGTCCGATGGACCACTGTACACATTGATGAAGTCGTATTTACAGGCTTGCTGTATGACAAAAACACAAAATACGCCTGAGTCTCAGCTATTTTACTAGTGTTCGCATAGGTGATAGTACTTAACGGGTGAGTTAAGGAAGCCCTTCCTTTTGAACTTATAGAGACAATTCAGCAACACAGTACATATTCGAACGTGTTTATGTGACTTAACACCGGCGCCGAAAATTGTAAGAATTTAAGCGCTAGAAAATAGTTGAACGATCGTTCCTAAGTCTTCAGGATACGGGAGCCGTGAAACTAACTTTTCTGTAGACCTGAAAGTAGTACAAGCGAAGATACTAAGGCAGAAGTGGTCGGCCCCGAGAAATTAGTCAACTCCGCATCTCGTCCTTAATGGGGCTAATCATGTGAATTGGGTACCTCATTGGTTGCCGGATTCTGTACAAATTTTGGTTTGCTTGCTAAACTAGTGAGACAGTTTTGATTCATACGCGCCAAAGACGACTGCCGGTGTTGTAATTATATGTGGGAGCTTCGAGCCTGAATATCAAGCTACCGAACTCTGTCACATGCACCTAATCGGTTGCAGTTTATGGCAAAACGCATAGTGGAGCGATTATCCCGGATATACCAGATCTGATCCAAGATTGTTACGGTACAAACTAGGTAAACTAACCGAGGTATAGCGATGGCATGGTATGACTATCCGCTGAATAAATTCAAATGTATATTTACAAAATAAAGCACGGGAAAGCGTGACAATATGTAGAATTTTCCGACCAATATACACTCAGGAAAGCCGTGTATTTTAAAGAAAGCTGAGGTTCTCTCAGTGGCCTTCTGACAACATCAGATTCTAGAATCACCTTTGGTTTGTCACATTTCGCTGGTAGTAACCGCCGAGTCCGGTCGACGTATTGATTTTCTATGAAAACATTACTGTTTAAAAAGATCGGAGTTTTGGTTCCGACTGCTTTTGTTGGTAGTGCCGACTTGGACAAAGATGTAATTTGACTGTCCGATTGGAAGCAGCCAATTTTTCTAAATGATATAATGAAAATGGGTAAAGACACGACGGTATAAGCATGTCAGCCAGTTGTTTTAAGTTGTAGATGGAAGAATATCACAAGGATTTTGAGACGCGAGTGTTTGTTAAAGATAGGTATAAGAAAAATAGAGTATATTTTCTGAATTAAAGGGTTGTCCATCATTATTCAGAAGATACTATCGGTTTCGTAGTTTCCTTAATTTGTTACCCGTCCCCAGAATTTCAGTGAGCTTAGAGTTTTGGTTTAAGGCTTCCTGTAGCTGGAATGATCTTACCGGCCTTTGGACACCATTTTGAAATCTTGAGAATTTATATCATGCAAATTTTCCTTGTATACCCAAGGCTGTTGTACTAGTTTAGTGCCTATAGTAGGATTAAGAAAAGGAGGCAGTTTGGATTCCAACATCTTAGCAACTTTTGCTATGATGGGGTCATGTACACCCTTGTTTGATTATATGTCGGTACAGAGAGAGCGGCTTCACTATCATATTATCAATGAACGGGTATCCATGATTTATACGCGAGATACTCAGGAACAATTTTCGGGAAAAGTTGTGGAAGTCATAATGAAGAATGCCTGAACGGTGAAACCATTCGGTGTCCTAGTATTCCAATGACATGAATGGTGTGACCGCACGAAAATACTATTTAATTCTGAGATTAAAGACAGGACGATAAGATTCGGAGTGATATGAAATCCTAGGGTAAAATAAAAGTTCGAAACCGAATGACTTACGTTGCGTCCCTCCAAGTTGAAGCTGGTGAAATTTAAGAAAATGGTAGACTTTGGAGGGGCTAGGATTTTCCAAATGCAGTTTTTGTTTGGCGGGTACAGATCTGGAAATGATGGAGTCTGTATTGTACCGTTGGCTTCATTGATGACGCCTCCACAAGCGTCTTAAAAATAAAGGGTAATGAGAAATAAACAATAGTTTCTAATACACCTTTGGAATTAACTAACTGAAGAAAAACAGTTACAACGAAAGTCCACCTGAGAAATCAGGTAACATCACTGTAAATAATATGACTAGTCAGAGAATATTTGTTCCTGTCATAACGTATTTCACGCTGGTTTGTTGGAAGTACCACAGAAGGATAGACATTTCATAGCCACATTACACAGGTAGTTCCAAACAATCTTATGAAGACCAAATTTAAGCAACCTTTTAAGGGCTGAGCTATGTCAAAAACACATTCCACACACCTATAGAACAGGTTTCAAGAAGGGGCTTCATTCCTCGAGAAATACAATCATTTGCAAATCAATTTGGTTTTCACGAGAGATCCAACTGAATCTCTCGTTAATGATATTCTACAACTGAATGTGCTGCACACAGGCCGCCTCATGTTTTAGTTGGCACGATATTCGAGGTATCGCAGTTGTAGAACATCATAAACGAGCGATTCAGTTGAGTCCCTCGTGGGAACCACCTTGAGACATAATCGCGCCTTGTTACAGCTAACCAGAGGGGAGGATGGATATTAGTGAAACGATGTCCGAAAAGGATAGGACCTCAATCTACTCAGGGAAACCTCGGCTTGAATAGTGGGTTGAAAAATTTGAAGAACAGTTCAACTTGACCCGATCGGTTTACCGATTGTAAGCACTAACTGAACTCAAGAGGGAGATCGACATTATTCCGCCATAAGTGACAGGAGTCTAGCGCAAAATCTCCTTGATTCAGCCTAACAAAGCACCTAGAAAAGACGTTTTGAACTCTGTTGTTCTCAAAGATGGTGGAGAGTCCGCCGTAGCTGAACTAACAACTCTGTTCCAATCTAACTTGGATGAGGAGAACCTGTGAATAGAATGGAACGCTCTGACAGCGATTCCCATATTAAAAATGGTGAAGGAAAACTGCGCGAAAACTACCAGGGCATCAGCTCAGTTGGTATGGTTTCTCTGGCGTTATCCTTGGAGTGTTGATCACTCATCGGCACACTCGTATTCGGGGAAATCAAACTGGGTCTCGTTCTATTCGGGTTGGTGTTGGAATCACGCCACCGCTTCCAACGATAAAAAATGATCATATTTACCGAGCTAAAGTTTGCTTTTGACTCCGTTGATCTTCAGAAAATGTGGCAGAGTCTGGCGAAAAACGGTGTTTCTTTTGAATTATCGCCTCTTATAAGAACTCTATGTGCCTCCTCCCGTTAATGCGTACATGTCTACAGAAAGAACCCATTGTGGTAATCATATCCGCTGGTATCACGCAAGAATGTCCTCCGTCACCTAATTTCCTTAATTTTGTAATCCACATACTGCTTCAGTCTAATTCACCCCAGGGACACTACCTGGGTGTTCGCTCATGGACTTTGAGTACACCGATGACAATAATATTTTTGGGTCGAATTCCTTGGATGTGCAATCTACTTAAAACAATCTGAATCATCCCGCCAGACAGTTTGCTCGCACTCGTAAAATGTGAGATACAAGAATGAGTTGAATCAAACACAAACCCCATTCATACGTGCAAACCTATAGATGTAGCAGACAAATTCATCTACCTAAGCATCTGGAAGAGTCCCGACCAACCGGCGAAAGACTAAATCACTTCCAGAATCGGAGGGGTCAGGGAAATGTTTTACAGCCTCTGTGGTACGGACATGATTTCAGCCTCTGTCAAGAGTAGAGTATATATCCCTGCTGTCTATTCTGCCCTAATTTGTGGATCACAGATGTGCCTGGGTGTGAAAACCTTGTGTTTAACGATTGATGCCACTGAGCGTCTCTAACGGGAGCATCAGACCAGCAATACCAAGATTGTTTTTGGGAAGTTCCCTTCTCTAACAATAGATTAACTGGTCAAATTTCGCAGTTTAGACTATCTATGCCATGTGCTTTGTACTTCAGAGGACTGTTTGCCTCATAGAGCCAATTTCGTCTATCTATGTTCCAGTTCATGCATGAAACCCATCAGTAATCAACTCAATTGCAGTCTCACTGTGTCATTCTAGATATTCCTCACAGAAAGAGCAAAGTTAAGCAAAACTACCAACCAAGTCTGTTAAATCTTGCATCAGTTGCGGTCCATTTTGAGGAAGAATACGTTTGACTACATGCAAAGACTTCAATACTTTCAATGATCACAAGAATCATATTTACTCTTGTATTCCCCCATGAAGTTGCAAATAACGCTTTGTATTAAAAACACCCGTTTGTCTGTAAGTGACATTTTGCGAAGCGATCGAGGGAGTTGCTAGTTAATCCTCAGACAGAAAAAGTGTGAATTGAGATCTTTGGTGGAATGTAATACCAAGAATTCAGTCAAGTAGTATGCATCCCAGAGACATGCCACGATTGCTTGACGGATTCAGCCCATCATCACATGCTGACGAACTTAAGCCCTGCAACAAATATCAGTTTACACAAATTCAGGGAGACGTCGTCTGTGAACTGACGTAAACAACAAAATTTGGCCAAAAAATGGGACGCTTCAGATGAAACATTCGTCGGGACATAAGCCATTATCACGGGAAGTGTGGCAGCACATTCCATACGATATCGACATTTACCCGTGTGTGCCAAAATTTGCTGCAAAACATCTTTAATAAGTGGGAGGGTTGCTGTCCTGAAGTCTCACAGGACAGCAAACAAGTAAGCGACTTCATCTGCCATTTATCAGTGAATTTATTGTGGGGAACAAACTAGAGCACTAACATTTTCCAGGGCGTTTGGGATCAATAAGGACTTCGAGTCGTAGGCAAGCAAAGATTTATGAGTTTAATACAGGTAATAGAATGCGTTCGCTTAGATCAACTATTGATGAGAATTTCACGGGTCACGTAGCATAACTAGTCGCGTTTGTTTACGGAGGTGGAGCCAAATAACCTAGCTCGGTGAAATAACAGGAACACTTCCGATATCACATGAACACATGGCAAGGAGAAATGTGCAATGAAACATGCGTAAATGTCACATGACAGAACAACGTGCATCAAGCTGTCACAAGAGCTCTGATAATTTCACTTTCGCAACCCAACTACTGGTTTATACGTTAAGTAGTAGATGGGAAGTATGAATGACAGTGGGAAAATTAGCGACATACCTTCGCAGCGCCTACCGTCGGGATGCAGTTCGTATCCGATTTCACACTGGCATCTATACCCACCAAGGGTATTAACGCAGGTGTGCGAGCATCCATGCTTCATTGTTTTGCATTCATCGAATTCTGAGTTGAGAATGCAGGAACAGTTAACCTTGAGACATGATCTAGACACGCAAGCTGTATTGCGCTGCTGATTTATATTGATACGTACGCATGAAATTAGGGACGTTCATCTAGGGGTACACTGCTACTGTGTTTGTTCCACAACAAATTTAGTATTTTCTCCTCTATACTTTCTTATCGGCGGCTTATAGAGAGCCAGTTCATGAGATCCGATGACAGAAGGGAAATTGACATTTTCCATTTGCAAAGATAGAATATACTGTTTTGGTAGCCACTGTAGGACCTGAGAGTTTCCCTTTCGTATAATATGTCGCCGATTCAAATATACTTCTGGTGAAGAGCCATGAAACGCTGACCGTCTGTTTTCTTGTTGTGGTTTGTGAACAGTGGTTGATAGTGCTTCAAGTGTGTCGAACAGGAACATCAGATTAGAGATGATTTCTCGAATTTCCTGAAGTTTTGCAAGGTAATTACAGATAATGTTTCAGCTTTTGGCTGAAACCATTTAGACTGAGAAAATAGCTGAAAAAACTGGCCTTTAACCAGGGAGATTTCCTTTCTAGTGGGGATAATGTTAACTAACAAGAGAAAACGAAAGGCAGAGTATTCACGAAAATAGTGTACCAAGTGAGATCCCATTAGTGGCATAGCCCTAAATTACTATTGTACAGAAAATGACCAGCTTCTTTCGGATATGCGAATGAGAACTAATGTAAAATTTTAGATATTCTAGACATTTAAACGGTGGGAAAGACCAGTCAGCTGAATTAGGGATTTTTTACCAACAAACCCCTGGGTAAATCCGTTTGTCACACGTTCATACACTTTCCTAGTGGATCGTTGATCGGTCAGACTACGGCACATTTTAGTGTCCTGTTGGAACTCACTGTATTTTTATTATCGTTACCATTTAAAAAATGGTCAGTGGCTGTCAAGGCAATATCAACGAGGCGAATATCTGATCTGAGCTGAATGAATCATGTGGAAATGCGAGAAAAAAAAGTAGTGGGTAGTAAGAATGTTGCATTTAATTTGTTTGACGGACCATGTTAATGTCTCAGTAAACTAAATTTCATGTTATTGGGAAAAAAGCATATCAATTGATTCCCTGAGAACTTTTGTCAAATCCGTAATGGCAACAAGGATAGAAGAAGTACGGTAATATCTCACGGTAATGGGGAACACTCATGTAGGAAGTTCACGTGGGGAGATGGGATTTTAGTTTTATTAGCTACTCTAACACTGGATACGCAACATAAGCAAGGTGCTTTCCAGAAGGCAGCAAGAGATAAGCAAAATACATTCATTTGCATACCAATTTTTTTACGAGAGACTCACCTGGAACCCAGCTGAATTACTTATTTGTGATGGGCTGTCAAAGAGTTTTTAGCAACCTTAAAGTAGTGTGTTGCATCACAAAAAGAAATACTTTGCAAGAAATCTTCGCGCAAAATATTAAATGCCCCCTTAATAATCACGTATTTTAACCGCACGTAAGTGGGTTACCATCAATTTGAACGTACAAACGTCCATGCAGAACTAAAATGAACAAAAGTGAAGCAATCCACTGATTAATGATAGTTGGTTCACCTGCATATATTAACTTTGGAACGGATTACAAGTGATAAGGCCTTCAGTGACTCTTTCATCATCCACCTTCAGTGATTAACCTTAGTTTGACGAGTATAAACATTACTCGCTCGCGTGGTTTAGCGTACCGAGTTGCCTTACTAAAGACCAAATTCATCCCTCGGTATCCGTCACACGTTTGCTTAGATATTGTCTGGAAATCAGGATGCATTATGGCTGGATGCCGGACCTAGCTTCGGCGCATGAATTCGCTGAGTGAATGGTCTAGGCTGGTCACTGCAGTGCCGGCCATCATGTCGTAGGAGCCGTGGACGTTTTTGGTGCTTTACCTCAATTGCTTTGAGTTGATAATGCTTTGTTTGACTATCTACTCGCGATGTATTGTGTTATAGTTAACATGAGGAGTAGACAAATTTTTATTGTAAAAGCCAGTATACCATAGCTACATCGGTATGACTTTCAACTGATACTATTTGATGGGCTGATACTGGGAATAACAGATAAAACCTAATTTTTTGGTATGAATTCATGAGGGGATTGTCAAACGGCACATAATGAGCAGTTTGCACTGACCAATGAAGACAAAATTCAAGTGTTATCTTGTGGTGGTATCTTAACCCTCATTCCAACGAAATTCCTTTAACTCCCATAGAAAGGCTGTCTCCCTCGGCAAACAATGAGACATTTCGACTGAAAAGCATTGATTGTCGGAGAAATAACACCCTGTATTGTGAAATGCACCGCAAACACAACAATTTTTTAGCTCAAAATGTGTCACACCTACCACTTTTAACCAGCTCATATGGAAAAATTTGAAAGATGGAATGACTTAGTTTTTGGTGGCTTCTGACTTGAAAAAATTCTGGGCGACCGGTGACTTTGAACGCTACCTCGATGGATGCCGCTTCATGTCATTAGAATGCATTGCACTGTACGTACGTGAGCAGTGTAAACAGTACAAACCAGCTATTATTATTTTCAGCCAAATGACGAATAGTGGTCTGACTTTAGCTAATCTATCGGTTTTAACGTAGGCTAAGCGTTGCCACGAAGAAAATGACATCAAAACTGGAAAACGTCAGCCCCTTCCGCGCTCAAGCCCAACAGTTGTGCAGCGATACATTGTTATTTTTCTGTTCATCTGCTTTTGCTATGTGGTCTTGCGATCGATCCCAGCACATGCATGGTGTGCCTATTAACAGAGGACATAGAATATTTGAAAAAGCCTAAGCTGTCCTGGGTCAAACATTATGCAGATATTTTCCTTCAAAAGTTTAGGAACATTTTGCTTTTATCGCAGGCCCAATGTGCAGTATGTGTGGAGGTACTTGCATATTTCAGATTTTGATTAGAAACTTAGGGTAACATTTTTAGTTCTTTTTCTCTGTGTGCGTCAGTATAAATGTCTCGTCTTAAATGCGTTTTTTGCTGTAGTACAGTACTCATAAGGTTGCCGGTTTCGGCCTTTATGAACGGAAGATTCAGCTGGGTTCCAGGTAATTCTCCCGGAAAGCCTAATTGGTTTGCAAATGAGTGTAGTTCGTTGCATTCGTAGAATCTGGGTTCAAGTCGGACATAAGATTGACAGAAACTCGTGGAATGCGTCAACCTGATCAGACGCAAGTAGGGCGAAACCGGCCTTGGGCTGCCGAAGAATTTTCAGCAACCTAGTGAGGACTGTAGAACGTCTATACATGTAGCGCGTTATCTCGAATATCGTACCAAATGAAACACGGGGCAGCCTGGTGCAGAACATTCAGTTGCTTAAGTAAATCGTAAACGAAGAATTCAGCTGAGTTTCAGATGAGTCTCCTGCAAACTTAAATTAGTACGCAAATGAGTGTATTTAGGTATTTTTTATTGTTTTTAGAAAGAACCTATTGACAGTAACGTAGTACTGAACTGCATGTCCCACCGGATTCCGCACCGATAGGTTTTAAATTTCCAAGGACCTGGTCAAATAGACTCAGTTTAAGAGGTCAGCAACGAAAACGTAACTAAAATAGGACATTATGTTATTTACTTTCAACTGAATGAGACCACATTTCATAGTAAGATTCTGGGTGAGCAAATTCCTAAGATTTCTAATCATACAAATCAGGAAGGAGGGCTTTAGTATTCGGTGGCATTCACCCGATGTTCATTGGGTGTTTTTCTGCTCTGTGTCCTTAGGGATATTCAGCCTATTTGTGTTTACCAAGATCAGTCAGACGAGCAGTTCAAAAACTCACGTCTACCTACCTTTCTGAAATGTGGCCGTGAAGCCTTGTTTTTCCACCGAGCTGTCAGAGACAAACTTCACAAACATTACATTATTGGTTGACTTAATAGGATTTGGTAGCTGCGAACCACACAGTTTTTTCAGCAGTGGAGAGGATTCGGTTGGGCCGTCACGTATTTCAAGGTAATCGTAGACACAAGTATCGTGCTTTTCCAGCTGTGTGGCAGAGAAAGTAAAAAGGAGAGTGCTGGTAAAGATAAGGATGAAATGCACAGTGCGAGGATCAATTTGTTTTCCCCCAAAATGATCAAATCACAGGGGGTGAATCACAATAAAGAGCTTCCATGCTTGCGTGCTTACATGACGATCCCCACCAAAGTGTTGATCGAACGCCTGGTGACATTTACAACTATGCTGAAGCACACAGAGGAGAAGCCACATGGTCTCAACCATAAACTCAACTCCATAAACAGTCATTTGTTTTATGTGTATTGCGGTTGTGCCGTGATGCACTGGAAGCCACTAAAATATTTTCAGTTATCTTGTGACTGACGGAATATCTGACACCAGATAAACAGATGAACAGATAAACATGTGCGTCAGACTGGCAGTTCTTTGACAGTGATGACTTGGCTAACCAGTGGCTCAGTGGAAGTTTATTTCTACTTTGTTCATTCCAGTTCACATCAAAACAAGCTGTTAAACTTTCTCTTCGTTATACACTAACAATAATAAAGTAAAATCTGGTTGAAACGGAAGAGAACTGAGTTCACCTCGGACAACTGATGATACTGCACGGGTTTCCACCACTGCTGTTGCTGAATGTCGATGGCTTTGTGTGAAATCCCAACAGACGCACATGGCTCAGAACCCAAGAAATAAAAGGACCATATATTCGGTAGATCGTATAACAATCAGTGGGATCTTTCTACTTAAATCCATTTATATTTTGATTCAACAGTATTTGGATATAGTCAGAAGTAAGCATATTCACGCGAAGATCGCACACTAGAATGAGTACACAGACATGCACTGGAACATTTCCATTTGGTGTAATATTAAGGCTAAATAAGATTCTATGTAGAACTTCGGTCCAAGTGAGTAGCGGAGCAACCCTTATGCCGTACAGGCAATAAAAACCACCTGTGTCTTACTCCATTCTTCCGCTAAAATTCTTTCAGTTTTAAATGAGGCATTTGGTATTATTTTAGATCTTCAAATGGTTAGTTCTGTTGACAGTTCATCAGAGAACTAATTACCAGGCTATCCACGTCCTACCATACTGAACCAAATCTAGAACCCTCAGATCACCAATTTTTGGCTTGGAAAATAGCCACTTGCGACCAGCAGTTCGAGTAGAATTTGTGGAATAAAGAACAAAAAATGGCGTTCCAATGCTGTTACTTCCGATAGTTGAAAAGTCGTGTACTAGCATCTATTAGACTATCCATTATGGGAACCCCAGACTCAATATTCCTAAAGACCACGCCAATAATATAAATAAAAACACCTGGCATTTACGAAGATTGAATTCATTGTGCTGAACAAGGTAGTGGAAATTATTGGGGACAATACCAAAACTTGTTTCGACCAGTATAGGAGACGTTTATGCCAAAAAGTAATGAAATTGGCATTTAGCATTCCAACAGGGACGATAAGTCTGCAGATTTACTATTCACACATGTCCACTATTTCTGAACAAGGTTTTCATTTGGTTGGTTCACGGTATCATCCTTTTCTTTGTCTGCGGCCTCTTTGAATAGGGACGTAGGCATCAAGCTCCACACTTCAGGTAATCATGATAAACTACTGATTCTACAACTTGTTATTCTGTCATTCGAATGAATCCTTCAGTACTTCGAGTTTGGAATTTCATCGTGGCAAAAGTAGAAACGAGGTTTGATTGAGTTGCTATATTTCAGATTTTTAATTCATCACTGTTCGTGGCTCACCTGTGTAACCTTAGCAAAAACACTCAGGTTACTCTATCACCTAGTTTATTCAGCGTCGTATTCAGACATTTGGATACGTGATCATGTTGGCCCCGAGCTGTTTTGTAAAGTTGCGGGTTGGCTAGAGCATTACGGTGGGCTAAGTAAGCATTCTTTCTTTGCAAAAGAAAATCTACCGTAGCTTGAAAATCAAAGGCCTCTTGATTAAGGGTTCCAAATTTGTTAACACAGTGGTTCAGTAACCACGGCTTCCTAATCGTACACGTTGAGGGATGAACACGCATGGCGATATGTCTCACTAGACTTAGAGTACTCTCAGTTTTACGGTGGCGACTGCAGTCCTGTATTTGGGCAACCGACCCGATATCATCAACTGAGTGTTAAACATCTCCCCGTCCTGTTCAACAATATCGTAACTACAGAATATACGGAATTTATACCAATAAACCAAACGAATACTATGTCGGCCTCTGCATAATGGCCTTATCTTTGGCCATATGTAATCTATACCAGGATGAATGAAAAGAAAACTGGGATAATGTTACCCCTGGTTTTTCTTCATAATGATTTCTCGAATGCATCTGAGAAATGGCCTTCTACATGAGAGTTGAGCATCCGTAGCAAGGTTTGTAAAACTTTGCTAGTAAATAAGTTGAAGATTAGTGTGGAACACCGGTGAACCTTGTATTATGATAAGATCCAGAGCACACTAGAGACTTTCCGTTTCAGAATACTGGGTGAACGGCTCTGAATTCTCACCAAAATCTTCCTACCTCTCAAGATACAACTATTTGTTGTTTTCAGCGTCCCGACACAGATGAAGCCCTTAGTGCGGAACAAAGCTCCTTCTTTCGAGTCATACCAAGTCAGAAGGTGATATAAATTTGCTCAGACGCACACATGTGGACTCAAAATGTCTTCCTTGCACACAAATATTGAAGTGCTTCAGATGTGCATCTTGCTGTTTCATTTTAAGGTACATATGGATGTTGCTTTGTGCGACACAGACTCGATTAGGATTATTTCTTTAAACGACCATTCCAGGGCAGTTTACAGTAAGTATGGCAAACAGGGGTTGGATGGTTCGGATTTAATTTACCTGGAATATGGGGAACTTCCTTGTGTCTATCATACAGTCTCGAATGACAATTTCAAATCATGTGAGACGGGGAATAATCCCCGGACAGGGAGCGATTTACGTTACCATTTAGAAGGTTCATTTGACTCAAATTCACGAAATATTCTTCAAGTTTCTGCAAGATAGAGTTAAATAGAAGAATCAGTGATCCTCTCCTCTTCTTTATAAAGCCACTTATGACATATTGAAATGTTCCCGTAATTCTCAAGTTTGGGGGACACTGGTTCTAGTCTTACTGCAGAAATGCAGTGTTTTCTGTAATCCTGTGCACCAAACAAAACTTTCTATGCCTTATTATTTACACGTCTCTAGTCCAGAGGTGGTTTTACATTAAAAAAGGGGCATTTTTATTCCAACCCTCATAAGCACATTTCGGGTAGCAAATCAAGCGTCTGACGTGGTGGTTGCATGAAGACACCACTGACCAGACATTTAAGATGTAACCTAACAGATCCAGACAAAACATTTTAGTTCAAATCTTACATGATATCTATAATGGAGCTAGGCGTAAATCCACAAAAATTGGTCGTGTCACGCCAGGTTAAAAAAATACTACCGCCAACACGAACAACCTTGGCGGCTTTTGAATGAAAAGCAAGTAGCCTCTAAAATCCAATGTAACGCTTCATCCAAACTTTTCAACAACTTTTCCAGACTTATATGTCTGGACCTGGTGCCAGGAATGGGCAAAACAATTCTTATGCTACCTTTCAGTCTGTCAAAGATTTAGTCGAGTCACTCACATACTATGAAGCAAATGTTTGTAGAAATAACTGTCGTTCTGTTTTGCTTCTTGCTTATGCTGGTCAAAGGAGCGTTCAAATATACCTGCGATTCTATTACGATTTACTGTTTGTTCCCTTTCTCAACGATGACTAATCGCGCGGTACGAAATTGGCACGTTCATCAGATATTCAGTTTATCTCATTCTTGTTTGGGATCCAGATTCCGCTCGAAACTTAAAACATAAAACACCAGGTCTTGCTTATGAAAAATTTAGTAGGCAATCGTTAGATTTATTACGGGCGATGTTTCACTTTTGGCACAATAGTCTCAGCACGTCAAACGACTAAGTTTCCAAGATGCTCAAGTTTCCAGACAGGTGAGGAAACAACAAACAATCACTGTCAAAAAGCAGGCTAAGTCACTAATAATGGTTAGTTGGAATTTATTATAGTTTAGTACGGATGAGTAGGATACCTTGCTAGTGGATCAGGAGTTCCTCTTCACCTCGAGTCGGATGTGTGGACCTGTGTAGGTCTGTACACTTGACTATGCCTCTTGAGTGTCCCTTGAAAATGTTAATGCTAAGCGTGAAATGTGAAGCGATGCCGAAAGGTGCTTGCGTATTGCCAGAAAGCACATGGTTATCGCAAGATAAAGGTTTGTATGTCAAAGCAGAGAATTTTCCTACAACCTACTATGAGTCACACTTCTTTGTATTCCTCAAGAAAAACAAACTCCGGGTTGACGTCAATCCCATTTTACAAGGTAGAATATTCCAATGCAAGTCTGCACAGCTTACTTATTTTCACATGCTAAAACTACTTGTAAGTAGAGATCCAGAAAACCTGAAAGTCCGGTGAGAGAATTTCGTTATGACTATGCCAAAAACCGAAAAACATCGCAGTTTTCTGTAGTGCTAATGGCTTAAAATTGTTGTAACATCGAATTTGCCTCTCCGAAGAACGCAGGTGCTTATAATCTGTCCGAACACTCCTGAATGGTAATCACAAGACACGGCATTCCAAAAAGTTGGAGCACATTCGTTAGACATGTTTTTCAGTAGTTTTTTCTAACACATGAAGGAGTGGGGACGGCCTATTGGTCCTATGATCAACTAGAAGCTAACACTTTTCCGGAGACAACATTCAAGCTGTGGATTCAGGGTCATCTGGCTTACATGCATTTGTGTCTATGACCACAGGTAAATTCGCCCTCACTGACAGCAATCTCCATAAGCCATACACATTTTGCTTCGGATTGTACAAAGGCGCGGTTGCGCAGCTGTCCTACCTGTCACTGTCATAACCTTGCAAAGCTATTCGTGAACGCTGGAAGTACCGAATGCTGGATTGACGAGAACATGTGAGAGAATTACTGATTTTCAGCAACCTGTTTGCCCATCCGCATGATTCCTACTGTCAGCCAACTACTAACTAAAAATGGATAATGCAACTAGGCAGGTTGTACTGTAGAGATTTATTTGAGCAGTGAATTCAAAGCATGGCATACCGAATGAAACAATTGCTGCAGCTTTGCATACAAAGTGAATTATGAACCTAGTTGACAGACATTGTGTGTGTTTCCTATGGGCACGTAGAAGAAGCGTGCAAATTACATGAGGGAACCTTGGTAACAGCTGAAAAGCGTGAGTGCACTAAATTCAAATTCAGAAAAGGGTAAAGTGTGGAATATTATGAAGTCTTGGTTTTAGGGTTTCTGAACTCACACATCAAGACTTGCCCTTTTAGAGCCAAGGATAGTCAGTACCTAGGACAATGCTGCAGTATGTGGAGAAAACTAATACAGTCCGTAAGTGTTATGAGGCATTCCAACTTATTCTCATTTGTGATGAACATGGAGAACTACGGTTTTTGTTTATGCAGGGTAGAACGTTCAACTATCGAATATTATTATGATTGACAAAGAGTTTTCAATACGGGGAAGAACCTGCCCGCCACCAGATAAAAGTAGCGGTTTACTAGAATCCCCAGATGACTTAGCACCTGCATTCGCTGCATGAATTTGTCCGACAAAACTAATTTGAAATTTTTGAGCTTTATGAATTACTACCACACTACTACGGGTACCTGCCGCAGTTGTCAGCTTACCGAAACAAATGTCAGTCATCGAAGTAAATGTCGCGGGTGTCAATCATGACACAACAATTCGTACACCCAAAAACCATCCACCCATTAGAGTGAATTTCGTGTGGGAAGCAAAGTGTTGTTGTGTGCTGCCGCAAATAAAATTTAGCATTTTGGATTTACAATCCCGTTAGAAAATTCAAGTTCCTGCCCTTTTTCAGTAATCACAGTCCAGTTTGAGCCCACCGGGTAAATCCACACATGGCACTGAAGTAGGGGTCTCTATCCTTTAGCCTCTAAACTTCTGAAATTGTTCAGACATTTTCAATAAATTTAACAAATGTGGGAAAGCTAAATCACAATTACGGCGACGCGCTTCACGAATGATGATATATGAGCAAACAAGCACATCTTGACATGTGGAGTAACCGCTGTAACCTCCCACAGGATGAAGTTAGTCAGTGCGGAAAATTCGAGAGTTATTTTACAGCCAGTTCATCCTAGTCTGAATGATCGGTCATGTGCATCTCACGAATATTTAGGGGTTTTAGCAGGTTATTGTTCGAACGGTTGTCAAATCAGTCATATCAATCTTGGGGAACTCTTTTTTCTGTTTACATTTGGTGACCCAGGTAGGTCCGGTTTATGGTAATGCAGTAGAGGTAACATCCTGTTCTGGATTTAGCTCTCAGCATGGCTGATGACATGCAACACTCGTGGGGTTTGGCAGGAAGGATACACTAATCCAGTGGACTTACTAGGTCAATCATACCTCAGAACTCGGAAAACTATCTAGGTTGGATTGATATGAATAGAAGCCTCAACAAATCCTGCTTTTTTCCACAAAATATTCCGTAACAACTGACGCGGATCTTGGCAAGCAATCTACAAAAAGTGTGAGATCAAGAGTACCAGATAGCATCAGAAAATAAATTAACACTGGAATAAACACTTTAAAAAAGCTAAACCAGGAGATCAACTGCACAACCGTCGGTAGTGGCAACAGTGTGCTCAGTTTATCACCACACATTTAAACCCCTTTCAACAAGTGCGGCTGCGGAGGGGCGTTGAATAATCCACACTTTCTAAGGATGAATAAATTGTCCTTGCAATATGATTTACATTTATCCCGGATGGAACATTACGTACCTGAAACGAGTGGAAACTCAAAGCCACTGAATAGCCGGCGGGAACGACGATTTGCCAAATGCATTCTTTGCTGGATCGATAGAATTCCGGATAATTTGGACTGGTAAGTGTACCCTCCTCCATTTGAAGTTCACCGCCGCAAATAGCTAATGGTGAGAATAAAAGGAGGTTGACTGTTTCGGATGGTTGGTCAACTCATAGCGTATTCTGGTGGATCACTGAAATTTTTGAACATAACATAATAACAAATCCATATTTGTGTTTATTTGATACCGTTTCTGAGCCTTTCTAGTGTGTTAGTCTGGCACATTGGAAAAAGACACTACATCTACTAAAATGTGCCCAATGTTTCCAGTGGCTGTAGGAAGATTACCTCCGGAAAAAGATATTTTGGCCACAACAACAAATATACTCGGCTAGTAAGGGATTATTTCTACAACATTTTGGTTTAATATCTAACATGCATTCTGGACGGTTGTAAACTTCAAATGTTAAAAATCTTTGAAATGGTCATTTACCTTTCGATCGCGTGACGTTGGTTTAAATGGTGCATCTGAATGAGTGATAATTTACTAAGAAAAATAAACAATCTACTGGGTCTTCCACAAGTTGGTTGAATAATCTTCATTACTCTAACCATTTTGCACATGAACTGCCTCGCTGACTCCGTCTGACCAGACACCCGTCTACAATCGGCCATACAGAGGCGCGCAAATTAAGTCGACGGACATTAATTGGCTGGCGCGAGGAAAAAGCAGAATACAGAATTTATGGATTTTCACAAGCAAGCACTGTCTAAATAGCTGTCGAACTATTTTTCCAATGCCCTTGCTGCGGCCACTTCTAAAACTACAATAATATGTGGCAGTGCTCTTGCGGAGTCTCCAGAACAGCACAAATAAAATTGGTTTTAATGAATGACCGTGGCAAATTTTAAACATCCTGTCATATTTGATCCATATAGACGGTCAAACACTTTCTAAGGAAGGAAGGGAGGATCAAGTAGTTGAAATTGTGCACCCCGAAGAAAGTGTTTTCCAAAAAATGAGATGCTAGTTAGCTACGAAAATTCCTGCTAAACTTTCGAATCTTTAGTTTCGAAACCATATTAGCCTGAACGCTTTCGTGGCATATTCGTTTTTCGTTGTCATCAGATGAGGTACCTTTACTGATGCACAATAAGTACCAATCCATACAACATTTTTACACCTCCTGGGTAATGTTAGGACAACAGAAATATTCCTACAGAGATTTATATAAGTTTATGATGCTCTTTGAACTAAGGAGTGCACAATTAACCCTAACGTTCTCATCATTCCTATTTGTTATCAGTCTGGAAGATAAGCCACCGGTTAATACCACCGGCCAGGAAGTTAGCAATGAAAAGCCACTTGAACAATAGTGTGGATTATGCTGAGTTCCATTCTTTATGGTAACATAATTTCCCACATTATAACCCAGAATTCTCCTGAATGCACTGTCACACATGGACAGGACGTGACCTGAAACAAGACAAGCGTTTGTGGGAAGCAAACGAAAGATTTGCCCAACAGTGTGTACCCCGTCACTGCGACCTCGTTCCCGATGTTAGCACACAAAACTGGTCTGTGTGTAATCTTGTCCTCAAAACTTATGCACCTGGTGAACGATCCACATACTATTGGAAGAGAGCATAACGCATGGAATTATCCATCAAATTATGACAGACATGGACTTCCAAGTTTAATGCACTCCCAATTTTCAAAGCACTGATAACAATTCATAACTGGTTTAGGGTTGAAAATACAGCAAACAGTAACCAACCTTCGTAGTCGGCTATGAAACCTGTACTCATGCTTCCAGCAGAACGCCGATATTCCAGCCACAAGCGCGAACCGGTAGAAAGGACAGGAGAAGGAATTTGGTGTCCACAGTATCGACCTTTAGCACAATGTGAAATAAAGCACCATTGAAATAGTGGGCATGATACATAGGATAAATGGTCCTAATTATAGTATTTGTTCCCCGAAATTTCGTATACTGTTTTCGGGTCACAATATATTAGCTTGGGCGCACCTAAAAATATTTCTTTGAAGGACCGGTTCTCCCGAAAGCCAACCAAAATTCTATGAATAACTTACTTCAACTTTTGTAACTATGTGAATTTTGAGTTTTTTTCAATGATTTTCCCAAGAATGACAGGAATTTTTGACGCGTTTGCTATTGTTACTCTAATCCTTCCATTTGCTCATACATAAATAATTAGAACATATACTAGAAAGCATCCGCTGGTCAAACCAGTGTGATTTTTATCCTGCACCCTCCGACCGGAATTTTTGTCAAGAATATCACTATGCAACGTCTGGGTGGGAATATCAAGTGCCTCAGCTCACATCAAAACTGCCATATGCCAAAAATCTCTGAAATTCAAAGAGCTGAGAATAAAGTACTGATGATGCAGAGTGGTGTTGGGCTTTCGTGGTATCATCGGCAAAGTTTACTGGCAAAAGTCTTGATATCGCTCCTCGTGGAATCAAAGGTTTTTTGTCGGACAGGATGTAATTCCCCACAGAAGTTCCTGGAGCTCACGATACTTAATCCGAAACTGTTTGTATTTCAGAAGTCATTTTTACAGTGGAGGTGTATCCTCTGGCTTTTTTCTATGATATTGAAGAATATACATAGAAGAGATAAATTTCACAACATGACGGTTGTCAATTTCTAATAGTTTGTATAAAAGACTGTGTTAATTTGTAAGATAGATCAAAGGTGTTCCAAACAGATAAACACTACGGGGGTCCTCTCCTCATGTCCTCTTTATCAATTGCATCACAAACTCGTAAGTGATGCCATGCCTGAAGACCCAAGTTAACAGAAATATTGTTTGTTGTTAGCAGAAAGTACTGATGGTAGACGTAACACGCCATAAAAGGTTATATGAAGCTTGGTCAGTCTGACAATATATGCTAGACGGTAGCACATCTCGAAGCTAACAGACAAGAAAGCAACAGTGACATTTCGGTAGACGTCATGACATTAAAAAAGAAAGGAACCCACAACACACGGCTAGGCCAGCTAAGATGTTTTTGAAGATTTGTACCCAAATGATTTTGTGCCTACACAGAGCACTAACCGTTTGACATTTTTACTCCTGAACTATGTACTGGCTGGTGTTCGATCCAGCAAGATAGTGTGCTTTTTCCTGAAGGATCCTGATAGATGGTTGTTTATCTTAATATCGAGATATGAATAAATACACATTTACTTGAAGATATCGCTCGTGATCTACAGGCTCTAATAGAGGAGAAATTTTTCATGGTGATCATTTTGAGAATTATTATGCGCAAACAGTTGATGATGAGAGGGTAAATGATGCATTATTTCCTCAAATCTCTGTCCTCAATTTAAGTTAATCTGATAGCTTGATAGTCCCCATCGAACATTCAACTACTCCGTCCACGTGGTTATCGATTTCCAAATTTTTTTAAAAGTTGTCCCATCTTTCGCACCCACCATAGTACGTGCCACAATGATCAGCCCGCCTGACATTGGTATGCATACATGTGCGTACGGGTGTCAGCGCATCCGCTCAATCACCTGTGTTCATTTCCTGTCTGCACTGCCAGTTCAAAGCTGCCGTGCTCTGGTCACCGCAGATCAAATCAGCAGCAGGATTTACAGGGTTGATTTCGAAGTCCATGAGCGGCAAAAACACTTCCCGGCCACCACGCTGTTATCTGCAGACCTTGAAACTGAACGGTGCCTGTGGTTGATTTCGTGATCACGGACAGATGCGTTTCGTCGTAAACATCTTCCTACTCTTCCGCAACAAGCGACTTGGATTTTCTAACCCAAATCTTACTCTTGTTGTTTGGGATCATCTGAATCTCGAACGCCTTACAGAGAGCTCAAAAACGTGCTCATCATTCGTAATCCTTTTTTAAGTCATCTCACTTCATCGCAAAATGTCTAAGACTCAGTGCTAATTTGTAGATGACCGCAATGACAAAGGATGATTTCAGTTTTTCCCTAAATGCCGTTCAGAATTCAACAGAGGTCTTCAGTGTTTGTAGTAAACTGGATATCCTCACCTAAGAGCCAGTTTATTCTAGAAAAAACAGGCATCCTTACGTCGGACCAGTGAAGCAGCGACAGTCTCAGAAACGTGTGAATATTTATTGCGCAATCGGATCCAGACATTTAGGCAGTTTTCTCAATAAAGCTTCCAAAGCAAGACATGCTGGTTAATTCAGAGGATTGATCCAACTAATTTAGTGTGTAACTGGAAGTAGTCTGATTAGGTTATCTCTTTTCTACCTTACACAGCATAGTCACCGATGAGATAAGAAAATGAACCAGAAAGTGCTGCTTGATGTTAAATTATAGCATTTTTAGTTTACTGGTGCATAATATTGTGAGTAAGCATTTCGCAAGTTTCGTAACAAGTGATCGCATGAAATAACTGTGAGAAAAACTTTAGACAATGTTGTTTTTCATTTTCTTACAAACTTAAAACTGATCTAATTGAATCCACCTGGTAGCAAATAAGGGGTTCGAAATCCACTCAAATTATTTTGCTGGTGATAACTCCAGCTTTTACCTTCGGTGCTGAAGTCGGCACTCATTTTAGCATGACATGGTCAGATAGCCATCCTATATTTTGGAGTGGGTTTGGATATCCTTTCCTAAATTCCTTTGAGAAAATATAACTTCAGGTTGTCTCCTCACCTGGAACAACTTGTACACAACCGCCTTATCGTCGGACCCTGAACTAACTGCAGTTATGGCGGGATTCAGCCAAACGAAATTGGTAGATACAATTCAGGTTCTTTTAGACTCTGAAGTGTGAGTGGCCAGAGGACTTGCGAGTTTACGTTTGAAAGACAAGCTGCGCCATTTTACATCTTATGCAATGTCGTCGCATTCTGTACTCCCCAGCCCCAATATAATGAACAGTTAACAAATTTGTGACTTGCATCCAGTCTTTGATTACTAGAAGAAAATTCGCACTTTGTGCGGGCGGTAATGCTGAATAAGCTCAGGCGATGTAGGAAAAAATGATGTTTATGGAAAATAGCTGCGAAAGTTGAAAGTGGAGTTGACTGTGAATGAGGACTTCGCATTCCTCTCAAACTCAGTCTTGCGTAAACACACCCAAATTAAACTACTGAAACATATTTCAGAATCTCACTTGCGTTAGGCATCCTTGGTAATCCCAAGCCTACCCTTGAGTCGGACAAACAACTTCATTTTATTTCGACAAGAAGGCCAGAATATCATGGAACCAGAACGCGTAGGCAGCATGTCACACATTTTTGGGGCGTGAAAGCTCAAGCGGTTAGAGCGCGAATTTACTGACCGGAAGGCCAGTGTTACAGCCGAACAATTTTTTACATATTGTTCAGTTTGTTGTTCTCATATTGCATGTGTGAAGTTGTCTGTTACCAGTTGAGCAACCAGGATGTCTTTTTGTTGCCTGTTGAATTTGTCTTGAAGAGAATGTGGCATCAGTTTCACTTATCAGACCGATTAATGTGCTGCATATGTTGTGACTTGTGACCTCTTTTCTGGTGCACGATCACAATCGTTTCCAGATAGCCATCAATATTCACGGAAGCTCTGGTGACTGCAAAGCTGCATGATTAGAAATGAATGGACTTTCTAGTATAAAATGAACGAGACAAAACACAAAGCGCGGATTAGGTCCCACACGACGGGCTTGCAAAAGGTATGAATACCATTCAGCCTGTACCAAAGGAATTGGTTACAGGGACTGCTCGAAAACAGGCATTTCACTCATGCGATTGGATCTAGTGTGTTTAAGCTTTAAGTCGGGGGCATGGCAGTGCGTCAGGTTGCAAACCTCTGACCTTAGGTTGGTGGCCGAATCATAGAAACTATTATTGGTACATTTTCTCGCGAAACAAGGTGCTTTCGGGCAAAACCACTCTGAACCGGGGAAATTTTAGATCCAGTTCGATTACCCTTGGGACAGAGTGAACTCAACCCGGGTCCATCACCAATAAGGATACACATTCCCGCATCATATTGATTGCTGAACCACTGACGACACTGTTGAGCTCTGACTTTGATCGAGAACTAAGGTGCTCAGGATTTACTAGCACATTTCTGACCTACAGCTTCAAAAAATAACATCACTTTGAATTGATGCTAACTCTCATTCATTACCCTCCGCTTGTATGTTCTACGGTATAGACATGACACTTTAGTGATCGTTCACATAAATGGCTTTGTACTTTACTAACAACGGTTATTTAGAAACTCGTCAAAAAACACTACTGGTTTATCGGTCGAACTTAAGGGAGCTGATTTGATCTGAGCTGACCTGATCTGTTCTGTTCAATACGCATGCGCAATCAGTACTGCTACTCCAAAAAGACCAAACGTTTCAAGCAGAATTTGGACCTCTGTTTTCTGCAAACATACCTAGTAGTCTGGATCCCGAGTAATAACCGTCGCGGATTTCCAAATAATCATTAATACATGAAACCTGATTGGGCGTTTTGTGTCGCAGTTCATAAGAACTTTGGAAGTCGTGCAAATCGGATATTTGATGTGAACTGTGTGTAATCGGTCCAGAAATATCCATATGAGTGAAGTTCAACCGGATTCGTTCACCGGAAGCAGCACTGATTCGCCATTGGCATAAGATTGGCCCGGCGGATGTGAAACCAAGGGCTGACGAGGACTGTTCACTAGCTTTTGTACCGATAACTTCATTTGTATGAGGATACTTGTTTCCTCCAAAATGATACGGATCGCGGAGAACATAATCTTGTTGTGGCTGGTGCACTGAGGGATCGTTCACCATACCAGATAACCCGTGATCAACCATTCCATCTATTTGACCCGAGGGCATGGGCTGATATGGACCAAGTATATGATTGTTGTCATCCGGTAGTAAGTGAGCAACTGACAGTGCATTTCCTGAGTGATAGGACTCTTCGGCACCAACGGAATTAGATAAATATGAGAGATTGACAGATCCGAGTCCACCAGCAATCTTCCAGGCCATTTGAGGAGAAGAGAAAGATCCGGATGGTTCGAGTAACGTTCGTCCACAGGCTAAATAAGGGAGTTGACAAATATCGTTTCAACGAGAAATAGCATGATTAAACGGACGCAGTAAATAGAGTTTTCTGTAACGGAGTAAGAAACTTTATGTATAAGCATATGTAAATTGATTACAATATACCATGATAGTGTAAAATGCTTTCGTTTAATGGCAGAACCATGGAGAAATTTAAGCATTTACAGTAACTGTGACTATAGTGTCGCTGCTGTTGTAAACGTATAAAGCTAAGGGAAAATGGATTTCAGTAAGTATTTGGATGGGAAGTTACCATGTGCTAAGCGAGTTTAAAAGATGCTGTGATCATATTTTTCTTGGTTCAGCTATTTTGGCACAAGTACAGGCCAAAGTAGTAGTTACAGTAAAGAAACAGGACTATCCAAACACGACAGATGTAAATACATAACCACCAAAAACTAGAACAAACTGTCGGGATTCTAGGAGCAATCTAAATGAGGGTGGCACTTGTTGCGCTATTTTTGAACGCCGACGTTTGTGAACGGAAATCCTGGGGAGACGTCGCGAGAAAAATATTTTTCGGAAGTTACCATGCGAAAGCTAGGAGCTAATTGTACCCAAGCATCCTGGGGAGCGCCATGGAAAATGTCTCTTCCAACCGCTTTGACCGACGCAGTTAGCACAACCGACAACGGTATTCGTCCAACGACACTGCGGCGGGTTATAGCTATAAGACTGCTTTAACCGAAGTTAAAACTTCCTCCATCTGAGTTCACTACTTAAAATGAGAGACGTAAAAAAAGTGACCTGATGTGAAGGATAACCATAACCAACCTGCTGAAGAATAGCCTCCTGTTTGCAATCACAATTTAAGGACTCATAATGTGAAACAAAAAGATTTGTTGATAATCTGTGGAGGCCCGGTATACACAAACCAACAAAGTTTGATTTTTGCCTACCGTTTTATTACTTCGTTTTAACGGAAATTTAGACTTGTCGGTTTGAGCTCATGGACGTTCAGGGATAGAGAGGCATCGGGAGAGATTTTATAATGTAGCATCGGAATCTTGAATTAAAATCAAGTACATACACAGAAACGAGTAGGCTCTTTTCAGCAGAATTCAACAACGAAGTTAGTTATTGTGATTTCTGTAACTGACTGTTTGTCCTTTGAGTCGATTTCGTCTTCAAACCGACATGAACTAGGTATCGTTATAGTGCAAAGTTTTCTTTGGCTCTCTTTGAGTACAAAAGTGGCCGGGAATGATTTTCATGGGAATGCAGTTTTATATTCTTTTAGCTGCGGTGCTCGTATTATGGATTTTTATCGGTTTCTTGAACTCAGCAGAAACCGTTTTGCCTTTGTCTCCGTAATAGCGGAAACATCTGTTTATTTACCATGGTTAAGGAATGTGTTTATTACAACTTGAGTACTGACGTCCAGTAGCCTTCACTATTCCATAATCGGTCTTTAAGTTTAGGATGTTTGTGGGTAAACTCCACAGAGAATCAATAGAGACGCCTTCCAGTCCACGTGAGATGCATGTCTAAGGATAGGGGAATCGTACTACTGCTGGGTGATTGTATTTATATTCCACTAAGCAAATTCACTGGTTGAAATCAGTCACTATGTTTTCCTTTGAAGCCTTATACTCTTCCAGAGGACAGGTATTGTATATGTTCGGTCAAAGCGTGATCTGAACCTAGGCGATAGGCGCAAAATCTTCCCATTTATTGTGATGAACATTCATAAAATTATTCCCATTGATACCTTTTGCTCGTATGTATCTGTGATGAAATGTATTAGAAAATAAAATTTGGCACGGTTACTTTTCGTGGTCGCAGGCTATTCAAAGTGATCTGAGTTATGCAGACGGTGAACTGACTAAGCATGAAGAATATGGGTACGATTTCATCACACCCCAAAACTTCTTGTAATTATGCGAAAATTTACCGACAAGTGTGAAAGCCCATGTGGAGCTTCCCGACTAGTACAGTTTGACAGCAAGAATGTCAGACAAAACAACTGGAAAAAATGATGTCATTATTGGGGCGGCCGGTAAGCTAAACACCGAGACCAGGTATAAAATTGCAGACAAGATAATTCATACGCGTGCAGTGTGCATCGACAGGGTAGCTGTCAGTCGCGCCTGTCCTGAATATCCGCCATCGAATTATGAAAATTAGGTAACGCAAGTAATTTCTCCCGGCAGTGTGCCTGAATAGGAGAAAGACGTCTGTCTGAACAGTCGGAATAATCAAGATTAACAGACAAAAGTAAGGCTGATTCATAATACGTATGATTTCCATGAAAGTCTGTCTTATTATTCAACTTGTCCATTTTTATAATGGTGAATTCATTGATAGAGTCCAGTCCGCTCATAAACGATCGACAAAACTAACAGTCTAAAACCCAAGCAGTTCACCTCTAGCCGGTGGGTTGCATGTCATCTTGAAAAGATCGCCTCTTGAAGACACGGGGTCCCTAATTCTTTTCCAACAGTGATTGTATATAACCTTATTGCCCGAAGGTAATACACAAACGTTTTCAGATTCCATACTTGATGAGGACAAGATCCCAATCTTTACTAGTCTGTGCGCTTTTTCATCAGGCTTCTGGACAAAAATTTGAACTGGGAAATTATTTGAGAAGAGTGATTTCCACGTCATAATGTCTCGTCAGTTAACTAATTCGTTGCATCAAAGCCACCTAAACGTTTCTGCCGTTCAGAGAAACCGCTGAAAATTACAATAAATCGAGAGAGCCCAGAAAAACACACCCATTACCGTAAGTATGGTCATAACATCCTATCGTAGAAGACATTGACTGCATTCACAAGGAGTCTACTGGCTAAACCGCTTAAAATCTTATGTTCCCAAAACCAGGCTAGTAATTTAAACCCACCAGCTGGTATGGAAATAATATGGGCTGCGTTTTTACATGGGAGCTAATTTTTACTCCAATGATTATAGGGACAACACAGCACATATATATATTTGAGAACAAGTAATATTCCATCACATCTAAGATTAACACTTGCCGCAAACACTGAACATAAAGTTTGGTCTTGAAAACACATGCTCCCTGACAAAATTATTTTATATTAGTCTGTCACTGAGAATTTTTAGTCCTGTTGCGACATGGAACTTGGATAATGAGAAATGGTACAGTCAAGTAAATGAGAAATAAACAAAGCATCTAGATTTTTTGCGGCTTCAAGTTTATTCATGAGCGAGCTCCAGTGCAAGCCAATACGCGTGATCTTTTAGGCTCATTCGCGTCGCTTGTGTACTTTCAGATGCGTTTAACATACCTATCACACAAATTGTTCCTACCTCCCAGATTCTGATTTCACTTGCCGTTGTTGCGTTATATTCTCAAAATTATGTAAACGAGGTATGTGTGAAATAATTAGACTCGATTTATTCTTGTTTTTCCCAAACTTCACTTCGTAGCAGGCGCAGTAAACAGTGCTAAACTTATAAACATCTCCTAATTGCCATCCATTTAAATCCATAATTATTGCGTGTTGCGGCAAATAGGAGTCATGTTTTAGCATTAGTTTAGAAAACGATCTCAATATACGTGTGCTTGCTTCAGATGGTGTCCAATCACTAATGACTGGGACATATGGTATGAGTTTCAACACCTAGGAATAACGAGACTCGTGGAATCACTTGTAAATTTCCACACTTCCTACCTATGTTGTGGCAAATATTGTGCACTGTCAGTTTGTCCTAGGGACAGAGAAAACGGTTACTTCGGTGACCAAAGTTGAGATCGGTCGATTTTAGATGAATGGCATACATTCCAATTCAGTAGCAACTTATGACGATATCTAATTGGTCGTTTGTAACACAGCTTTTTGGTAAATTTCACACATTTGGTGTGAGACATACATTTTTTACGAATAGATTGTGAATTAATTAAACAATTAAATGTTGAAAACTAATGGCATCTGATGCGCTCAGAAAATCTTCACTTATGTTTTCAGACAACAAGCTGTGTTGCTGTTAGAGAAATCAATGGGGTTACTCAGGATTGGCTATTTTTGCGCAGCGCTTAGGGCTATTGATTGAAAGCAATGTGGGAATTGAGTGTCATTCATTCTGATGGAACAGGTTGACTTATGCCAAGTACTCGGTAATATTCTGAGATGCGCCATCTAATTATAATTGCCCCTTTAATATGCCAGTTGGCACCTAATATTTTAGACTTATAATTAAGGGAATCGATGAGTACTCTGACAAGGGAAACAAATAAAGCCAACTGAACACTCAACCTAACTCTTGAATTGTCCACCTTGATGTTACTTATTTAGCGATGTATATATATATATATATATATATATGCGGGTAATAAAAGCCCAGTGTAATGCTAAATTCGGCAAGTTGCAATACATTTTTGGTCTTATAAGCATACTCAGGTCTCCAGCGGTCCAAATAATTCTTGCGAAATAACTTTAATCTGATTCCAATGCAGCCCATTTATCAGTATAAATAAATGCATATTTAGGCTGGTATATGAGGATTGCTTGTCCTTTATAGAGTACATCCAGAAATTCCGTGTGCTCAGACGGGCCAGGTATTTTCTACCTTTAACTGAGAAAAGAGACGGGCCAGAGGGCGAATCATAAGTTAATTTATTCCTGATTTGGCGTCTAGCATATGAGCATGATGATCCAGCTGTAAACGAGAATAAATAAACGTAATAACATTTCGGTTGATAGGCATTAACTTCCCGATCAGAAGTGACATCATTCGATAACATACTGTTTGTAGTCGGTATCCCTTATCAATGCACTGGTGATGCTATTGCTTGTTAACAAAAACGTATGCTAGTCAGATAGGACAAAAGAAACTAATCAAACTACCCAAAATCAAAATGATTTGGTTTAGCTCAGATGTGTAAACTTGAAGAAATGTTTTAAGAACCACTCCGAAACAGAATCGACTCCCAAATACTGGTCCCGGGGAAATACTTACCGATGGTTCATCTATTTACCTACATGATTGAAAAAGGCTCACTCACAAAACGATTTTTTGCTTCTGGTGCTAAAAGACTTTTTGTTGCTCATATCATGCACGTTTTACACAGAAAGGCGGATGGCAGGCATTGAACAGTTTATTACTCAAGGGGTCACAATGGTCACCATGCGACCAGAAATCATTTAAAAGCCTTACTGTAAAGAAAAGAGTAAAATTGAGTGGGGAATAGACCTAGTGATAGCCTTCCACAATCAGTCCGATATCGTTTAGCAGACACGTTATAACATCTTCAATCATAAGCAGTGTGGATTGAACTGACTCCCGTCGTACCGATGTTGTTCGTGTTCTTCTGTCAGGTCAAAGTTTGGCCGTTTTTCTGTTTGTGACACTGTGGGCAAGGCATGAAAAGCAGCACAGTCTCGGGGGAGCCATGAGTTGGTCTAAGCCGTAAATGGCAAAAGAGCTGCATCGTTTGGTTCTGGACGCTCTCTTCAATTAAAGGTTCTCTTGCGCACCCTAACACTCGCCTTCTCGCTGCCCATTTGTGGAAGTGCTGGCACGTCCAGAGGACAGTCATTTCCGGATCACATGACTAAAACATGTGTATGAACATCAGTGAACCCAAATCGGCTATAGATTTTGAAGGGTAGCACTGTTGAAGAGCAAATAGTGGAGAATGACATGAATATCCAATAGTATCTTATAGAATCGGAGCTCTCAACCGGTATAAACAAGCGTGCAATAACTCTCAGCTTTTAAGAGCATACTATGCTCGATAACTGGGTGTGGTCTTGACGTAAAATAAGCAGTTTTTAATAACTTTATGTGCGTCGAATAGCTTCATATGACTCGTCTTCCGGAGTTGCATAGACCCGGAGTTTCAACATAATTATAGCCTCAGAGTGTACAGGTTCGTCCCCATATGACATTTCCTCTTAAAAAGCGATCTGACGTCACAAAATGTATAATCAAGCAATCAGAGTTTCTTCTGTCATAAACAACTATTCAGATGTAAGCAAGTGTACATCTCCTGAGCATGGCTGTGTAATTTCTTGGTGAATGTGCGAATAAGCCTTCCAAGACTATAGTGAATTAACATCCAAAGGTGACAGAAGTGTTGCTGAGTGCGGGATTCGTTAACATCACATTCGCATCCGATGTAAAATCTAACAGTTCAGGGAAACAAGATTTCTCTGGGCATGTAAAGCTCGTATATATTCAGAGACCAAGGAGCTGTCTCACCCTTACTGGGGATCAGCTGTGAGCATTTCATTTGCGGAATGATTCTTAACCGAGACATTCCTGCCAAGGGGCCAAAGACGAAACTGTTGAGCAGCTGATCAGGGGTATAATTAGTCCAAATTTAGAGAGAATATAGGGCGGCTCTTGAGCAATCATTAGAGAGGTCTTCAACTCCGCATCTTCAGGACATTTTTAGGAACTGCCCCTGATCTATGATATCAACTCCTAGAATGAATAGTGCCTTCTGTAAAGCTTTCCATTGCTAGTTAGGTAAAGAAGCACAATATGAGTGAAATATAGGTGATTACAAATCTCGGAGGTTTCAGTTAACAAAGTCACACCAACTTTTACTGTCAAAGGCAAAGTGGCAAATCTGATCATGCATAATCACATCGCACCCCTTTTGTTTGCAATAATTTTCGCCGTTGAATTTAAGATAGAATTCTAATGAGCCTAGGAAGAAAACACCACTCAACCAACAAAACTGCGGAAGAAAATACCAATCAAAAGACTGATATGAAACAGATGATGTTTCCTCTATTCGCATTTATCGAGCGCATAAAAGACGTAAAAATACTCTACAAAATTTTCGAGAATAAGTTTTTGGAATGTGGCAAAGGCGCCTGAGCTAAGTGGCATTGTTTCAACAGCTTTTTGGACAATAAGAGGTTAGACGCCATACCGTTTAAAACACCTCGTACAACACTATTTCAGGAAACATCCCCGTGAATTAAGTTGACCATACCAGCCAAGAGTATAGAACTATTCATATTTTGTTCCTCTGTCACACGTCTGTTTCGACCTGGGTGAACTACATTCTTCCGGTGCATATACTTAGAAGCTGAGGTTAGTGTTAGCAAACATTAGCTTCCATACGTTCTACGTTTATGCAATCGAGAAATGGAGGCCCGAGTTGGAGGCATTTGTTTACCTGGACAAGAGTACAACTTGTTTGTCTGTCTCACATCTCCTGGACTGAGTTGAATTCTTTGCCCAATCGGAGGCCTTGGACAACAGGCTTTTGGACGTATAGTTTCGTCCTTGTTCGCCTTGGCGAATGTCCCTTTGGCATAATGCATAATTGAGCTGTAGTCATACGGTTCACCCAAAGAATTCACCTCTCCAGGGTCCATTTTCTTGAAATTGAAATCTTGTCCCTCCACCACGTTTTCGAGCAAAATGTCCACGTGATCTGAAGCAAGAATGGGACAGTTTTAGGCTGCCAGTCACGAGTTCAAAGATGACGATAAGTTCAGCGTTTTAAAGTATCCCAATAATAAACGACTGCCGTCGTTTTGCAGTTATTCAAAAAGCGTCACATAGATTAGTTTTTACAACTCGCTTGCGAAACGTTACATTATAATAGTTTTACGGTTATCCAAGTGAAGCAGTATTAGTCAGCTTTTGATCATTTCGCCTAGCACACCCAGTATTTTGTTCCAAAATATCTGGTTCCTTAGTAGAAAAATGGGAGTTATTCTCATTAAATTTATGTGAAGGCTTCTAATAAAAAAACCTCTAGACCGAAATGGCATGGACAGTTGTGGAGCGTATTGTTTTTTCCATTGTTGAACGTTTACTGTCCACCAACTACAACACCTCTTGACTTGGCCTTGAACTATTTATCTCACCACATCTTGCTCACTACTCATAGTGGCCTGAAACAAAACTAGAAATGTTACAACTAAAATCCACTGCTTTGGTAAGAAATTGAGGTAGTTAAATAGATTTTCACAGGTGTTATAAAATCCGAAAGAGTTCGCGAGCTCTAAGAAAGGTGTCAAACTTTTACCTATATTGAAACAGCTTAGGACTGCAGTCAGACTATCGAATTTTTTTAACTGAACGGTTTATAGGGAACATGAAGGTATGTTGACAGGGAAAATACAGAAATAACTCATCCCGTTGAGTATCCAAGTTGTAAACTCTGCCAAGCTTTTTGATGGTGGCTTTATTGGAAACCTTTTATATCCTGGCAAATTTCAACCCCCTTATTTTCACCTCATCTTAGGTTGAATAATCTTATAAAAAGTTGAGAAATCACGCTATGAACATGTTTTTTTATGTATTTAGCTTGCTTGATGAAGCAAATATGTTGTCACAAAAGCGGAGGCGTAAAGTCCAGAAAGAAGAAAACTAAAATTTTTGCATGGATACTTGTGTCCCTCGGAAATGAAACTTCCTCCAAAAAATGACTTGGAATGCCCAGCGTCCAACTTTGAATGTACGTTCTAAACGACAAATTTTTGCTTGTTGCAAAGATTTAAATTTGTCTTAACTGGCTTCACCATTATTGAGACTCGTCACGTAAGCACAGTTTCTGAGTTTAAGTCACCCCTGAATTTTTCTTGAATCCAAATTACACGCATTTCGATAGATACTATAATTTGTTTACTAACTTGGTTTCCACTAAAGACCTACCCAAATCTCAAGTGAACATCTCATTTATGATACCATTAAGCTAAATCTGCAGCAAGAAGGTCACCGAATTTTTTCAGTCGGTGCAATGTTTCAGATTTTGCAGTATAGGTTCATGCAGGAAGCTACTCATGAGGTAGCTAGGAGCACCTCGACAGCCTACCACTGGCTTTGCCGATTTTTGGACTCATCTGGTGGGCGAAGTCCCAAGTTTCTCTCAATATTTCTCTTCAAGTCCTCTAACAATTTGTTTTACAGGCTGCCTTATGAACAGCCATTACACTGTTTTATATGAGCACCATAGGAAGACTTTTCATTCCCAGCAATAAAATTTACTTCAAAACATTTTGTCAGTCATTTTGCCCGCACATTTTGGCGGTACTTTTCGCATATCATTTTCGCTGCATTTCCCAGTGGGTGGTGAATCTGAATGCTTAGCACAAGAATAAAAATGCAACAGAGCAACTAGGTTCTGCATTCCATGCAAAGAGAGAGATCTCTGGAAATTCCTAACCACCTGCAACCACAATGTACTAACGGCACACTGCACGTGATGTTTCCGCACAGCAACAACCTCAATAATAAATGACAAGGAATAAGTTGCGGAGTTACTATGGCCAGAATGGATCGACCTTAGAATAAGCAAACGTTAGCCTTTATAGTCTTTATAAAAGCTAAGTAATATAGTAAAAGCATAGAAATGCACATGCTTTATGGAAAAGTTTTAAACCTTACTGTCCCTGTCCGGACGAGTATGTTCGTGCCAGAATCCGATGACATGTCCCAGCTCGTGTATCACAATTCCTTTCTTATCGCAGTTTTTCCCGATTGATATCGCCTGAGGTTCATCTTCGCTACGGCGCCCGACATAAGAGCAACAGCTTTGAGAGAGATGGCAGTGGAAGAGTGATGCTTTAAAATACCGGCGAGATGTCCTCGTGCATGGAGTTAATAAAATACGAATGTCTACTTTTGATCAAAGCGCTTGATTTTTTGGTTTATCTCGCGACGCCAGTTTACGCAAACAAATATGTGTCAAATAGAATTTGGCACGCTAAGACAATCTGAATCAATTGTTGTTTTCTTTTTTGTAGTCTCAAGAAGCTCGCGCTTAGGCACCAAAGCACTATTTATTGTGCATGCAGTTTGATTTTTCTTAAATATTCAAAACACTAACAGTTATGACTTTCTTATTTCTGATCTGTTATGGCCGTCCAATAAAACCAGATGAGGTGGTGGTACCACTAGATGAGACGTAATCAGATTTATGATATGGTCGAGTTACCTGGATCTTAAATGGATAATACACGATCCTAATACTTATTTAACTGACTAAATACGCAGCACATTTCACCTGTGATTACGCTTTTACATCTTGACCGGCTGACTCCACAGTTTACTACCTGTACTACGAAAACTGCGAGATCGCCTGAACGCATAAGATTTATTTACCACTGACTGTGTGCATTGAAATACGGCAAAAGTACATGGCGCAGTTTCGCAGTGGCCCGTATCTACTTTGCAACTTGTGAGAGATACTTATGCAGAAGCTGACAGCACACCACTCCGTGTTGATAATTGCAGCATAGGATCTGTTCTATCATTCTTATATTGGTTGCTATCGATGTCGTCACTTGAATGGTGGTGAAACGTTTTAGAAAAATTTATGAAATGGAGCAAACATTCCAACCATATGACAGTGGCCCTATTAGTCACCAGCAGTTCCATAACTGAACTGTTTTCCGTCATGTTGACCGTGCAACTAACAGGTAAGGAACCAAAAGTCCAAGAGGTAGATCGTATTAATGTAGCAGCTTGGGGAATTGAACTGCAGGAGGGTCTTCTTACCCGCATGCCTTTTCCGTAAATATAATGTAGGATTTGTGATGTGGCTCACGTTCCACGAAACTCAGGCAGGTATAATTCTCCCAATGACGCATGGCCTTCATTATGGTGGCTTTAGTTTCACCTGGCAAGACAAAGAAGATTGAAGGTGATCAAGATTTCACTTTTTTTACATTTGGGAAGGCTTAATATAACGGAAAAGCAAAAGTCATAACCACTAATCCACTTTCTCAACTAATCTGGGGAGCTTGGCCAGTGTTATGTGGCTGCTCTCTCCTTTGACTTATCTGTTCAGTTTGGACAATCGTCCAACAAATTATGGTATAAGAAGTGCGGACAATCCGCATCAAGCAGTTTGTCTCGGAAATTCGAGCCCACTGAAATAAAACTTCAGCTGTTTAGGTTTCCGCGTTTCGAGTTACTTGAGTGTATGCTTAGCTTCTTAGAAACCACGATGTGAATTTTGTTCATTTTGTTTTCACGTATATTCGCTATGCAAAGGAAAGCAAAACGGCAGTTTAGAGAAAGTGAAATTTGAGTCAAAAAAGCTTGAAAATTTGCAAACCTTTTGTGCTATTACTTTCACCCTGCTGAATGTATACTCATCATTCTGAATTGGCCGTATCCAGAAAAATATTCTGAAGACAAGATCGTTGATTTTGTTCCGGCATTAAATGCGCAACGTATTAAAAGATACGAAAAGTGCTTTAAATTTACCGTGCTACATCCACACCTACTAAGTATACTTTTGTTAACTGAGTTGGTGTTCCTTGAAACGGAGGAATCCTTAAGCCACGTTGACGAAAATGGATAGAGAATCCTCGTATAAATGTTGAAAGTTGCCTATCTCAGCAGTTGACAAATTTGCTAGCCTTTGCGTCAAACTAACTTCACTGCGCTGTAGGAGAAGAATGCAGGTGCAACTTGAGATCCAGTTGCAACTGAGTTCTTAAAAGCATAAACTAGTGTTAGTCACGATTCATCTGACTCATTTTGCCATTGTTCTTTGTTTTTATTGCGCAAGGAGCACACCAGTGACCCACACAGTTGTTCGTTATGGTGCGTACTTAGGCTGATGGAGAATCATTTGTCGGACACACCGCAAGCGTAAGCGATTCGGAGATCGCTTAAACATACTGGTAATAGGAAGTCATTGTAGGTAGATGGAAAATACCAAGCAAGTCGCAGACTTACAAACAAAATGAAACTAATGGTTGAGTTAGAAATAAGCATACTTACTTGTGAAATTAGCCTGGATTATGTAGGGTATCACACCATTGGGCCAAGTTCGTGATGCGTAAGCTGTAGCTGCGCGCTTTGCACGGCGCCCACGCTTTTGAGTACTTCCGACTGGCCGAATGGGGGTTGTTGGCTTTGCGTTATCTGTGGACTGCAAAGTCTCGAGTTTACTTTGTTCCAGTCGTTGTCTTTTATCCATGAGGTGTAAATTTTCCTGTAGCATACGAAGTCTTGATAGTATGCGTCGGTATCGCCGAAGTCGCCTGGGATTTAGCTTTCTTGGTGCAACATCATTATGTAAAAATGATTGTGTACTGAACACACGTGGATTCCGGAGTTCGTTATCGACAACACCATTCCGACGCATCCAGTTAATCCTCAGTTTATGTAGTTCCCTCCTCAAGTGTCGAGCTTCTGCCTCGTAACTAAGGCTTTGTTTGGGGAAACGACAGAATTGAAATGATTGTCCGAAACTTTTAACATAATCATAAAAACTAGTAGAAAACTGATAAATAATTAAAACGAAGGATTACGAGAGTGATCTTCGTGTTGCTGCGAAACAATATACATCCCCATATTGCTATAAGATGAAATAAACGTTAAAACCTTTTGAACTTACGCTATACTTTACGGCGAATCGAGGTTAGTAGAAAATACAGAACACGAGATGAGAATTTAAATCATAGCTTGGAAGGATCGCAGCGTTTGCTTCAGTTTAGAGGTTTTACACAAATAACGTCATAGAATTTCGATCTCGAACAATCAGTGTTTTCTAGTTGGTGTGGAACACATTACACATCCTGTCAACATGCAATCTAATTCAAATGACAGGTTTTTCATTCTCAAGAAAGCAACCCATCAGCTTGAATTTTGGAAAGGAAAATAATATAACTTGCAAGTAACATTTTGTGTTCTGAGGGCAACTTTGTTTTGATGCTAATCCGGGCAACTTCAAGCTGCAAACAACACTTTCATCCTCAAAATACTTAAAAGAAATTCTAACATCCCGAATATCTTTCCTACCGAACGAATCTTGGTGTTAGGCAGACTAAGTTTCTTTACACGCTGACAATAAATGCATGTTGGGTTTACAAAACGGTTGCATATTTGGTTGTAACTGTCAATCATTGAGAAAAATTCCTAGGCATGGTAGACCAGCACTTTGATTTGTTGAACAAGCACTCTCTTTAATGTGTGGCAAGGTTTGATAAGGCAAATTATTTTCAAAAATGAACTGAAATTAAATAAGAAGATAAGATATAGCCGGTTTTGCGGGATTCAACTGCCACATTGATGCTAACACTTATGTCTTTTCTAGATATGATTAGATTCAAACTGGATGCATGTTTTATTAGTTGCGGTCATGTTACATCTATCCAGATTTCTTCCTGAAGTTTCGGGCGCGTGCATGGAATCGTCACTCAATTCACCCATTTTATTAAAGTGGCACTGAACTAGGATCGAAAATAGGGTCAGCAGTGACAATTTTCAGGATGAACTTGTCAGTACTAAATAGATATATGGGGCTACCTGATCGCTATTTAAACATCAGATAAAAGTTTTTATCTTATGTTTTGAAAAATGAAGCTGTTTTTAACCTGATGTTTACAGGTAGCAACACAGTAATACATAAAGTGTTTAGCTGCTGATTAGTTGTTAAGTCAGATTTGATTGAAGGATGTGAACATCGGAACCCGGTTGGGCTTTTAAGTCGGCTGAAATGAGTGGTAAAACAACGTTTGCCGGCGACCTAAACACTGTCTGGTGTAAAGAGTGAGTTCACTGTTTTTGCAGAACTTCACTGTGCGTCGGGATATTGGATATTGGAGTATTTACGATCAGTTGGTTGGAGCAGCAGCTAATTCCACTGGAACAGGAAGTGACTAGCGTGCTCTAAAGGGGCTAAAAAAGCCTTTCAGACAGACACTACTATCCCGGAGTTGTGCCACGTACTCTTGGAATAAAGTCCTTGATAAATAAGCATCATATCAAGATAAAAGCTAAAAATTTGTACCCGTAAACAATAAACACACGCAAAGATACGACAAGACCTACTATGCTTAAACTACGTCAACCTATGAAAAAAATTCCAGAGGGAGATTGGATTTATTATGGAAAACTAAAACAACAGCGGCGCCCGCTTGACCTTCTCTTTATTGGCAGTCTGCTAGCTAACTGCTCTGTAATTCTATAGGTGGAGGATATCGTGCAGTTCCTCAGTAGTTACCTTTGACTTGATCGCCATTGCCCTTTAATGTCGAATACCATCCACTATTCGATACCCGAAATATTTTGACAATCTAGTGCAACTATGATAACAATAATAGTAATTGATGCAGGAAATTCCTGCGTGGTCAGGACAGTAAGTCACCTCTTTAATTCAAAGTGAGGATGACCATCTGAAGCTGATCAGCTGTACGAACGAGCAGTCAAAATATATACTTTTACAACCAGATTCTAATGAAACATTCTGACTTAGTTTCTGAGGAAAATAGAAAGAAAGCTGATGGTTCTGGTCCAGCCATCTGTTAGTAGGCAAAGAGAATGCTGGCAATTTGCACCATATATTAGTCACCTCAACGGTATTTGTATCTAAACGCTGTTTAATAGCCACTAACTTTTTCGGTTGATTTATTCCCTAAACCGTTCTGTACACAAATGGAAAAATTAACTGGGAACAACCACAAAGTCTGCCACATTTCAAGATGTCCCAAAGAGAGACTTTACATTCAAATATCGTTTTCAAATGACCGTATTTTGCAACTGCCTGCGCCGGTCATGGAAACCGGGCCTGGCTTTCAAGTATCATAAGCATTTGTCAGCATTTTTGAAAAGCTATGAACATAATTATACTCGACAGCTGATATGGGGGGTCAATACGTAAAATTCATGACAGGATTAGGGTTACCTTTATGGTGAAAAATGAGAATTATTCAAAAAAAGTTCTGTCAGGTATATTGCGCTTTGGCAAGTTCAAACTTTTGAATTGACTGCCTGTGGGTAAGCTACTGTTTGGAACGCTGACCCAGTTTTGAAATAACATAGTGTTTCACCACAATTACCAAGTATCGTAAGTGGGCTGATTGGTCTAAGGTCTTTGAGCAAAAAAAGAAAGTGAAACAGACGGTACAAGATGCATGCACGAAGATGCTGTTTGCACTCCCAAATGTTAATACCCTCAAAATCCATTCACATGCAAACCAATTTGTTTCCAACACTCCTCATACTCCAGTTCCCCTGAGGCCAGAATGAATGTACCAAGAGAAAAGGAGAACTGCCCATTACCAGTGATATGGACAGGAATGTGACAATCAAGTATAACAAAAGTAATCTATGGTTATCTCACCGAATATCCGTTCCTCCAGAAAAACCTCCCGGTTCTGGTTGACTCCGTACATAGGAAGATGGTTGGCTGACTGGGGAAAATTCACTCATATCTTTCATAGGGAGAGGAGGAATCTGCAGATCATCATAAGTCTTCGACCTACTGTGATCTTTTGAATCCGAAACATCCCAGATTTGTGTTGGCTGATCAGAAAGGACCATATGTTTCAACCTCATTTCTTGCGACTCGGCCTCGTCTAGCGCGATGTCTCCAAAATATGCGTCTGTAAGTTTTAAAAAGGCAAACAAAACTAAACGTGTCTAGAAGTTTGGCAAAACGTTACCAGCTTGGCCAAAAGAATCTACAAAGCCTAATATGGTATGTTAAAAATAGCTGCATATTTTATGGGAATAATATTCGGCGTCGGAACTTAGCGAGTGAATGAAGCGCAACCGATAACTGATTAGTGAAAATACGCTCAGCGTCATTTTTTGACTAGAGCGTACCTGAGTTCCAAGGTGTTCTATTGGCAGATCTGAGTATTCTGGGCAGGACTTTCACTCAAGCTTCGTAATGAACACTTCTGCAGACAGAAGTGCTTGTCAATCAAAATACAATCAAAATATAAAAACTATGGGGAGCATTTTGTCTGACCGTTAGAAAATACTGTACAATTATTTTTGCTCGCATACGGTGTTGAACTTATTGATTTCCATGCGTTGTATTGCCTTTAACTTAAATCAATCCCCTAAGATGACTGTTGCTTTGAGGTCCTGGGCTTTTCTACGACTCAATCATTAGAATACTTTCTCGTAATGATAGTGTGGGACGACGTATAAACTTCTCTCATTTCTGATTGTTCAGACTGCTATAAATTTTAATTCCCAGGTTTGGAGCTCCTGCATGATGGGTGAACAGATTGCTTGTTTTATTATGAACAAAACTGTGTAATTGAGAGTACGGAATGGAATTCCTCTGTAGAACTCGAGATGTAGAGAAGTGATGGAGTTTTGTATACTCACTGAGTGTATTTTATGTGACAAATATCTTAATAAATACCGTAAGAGTTTGAATTCGGCGTGTGAAATATATGCAGTAATTTACTCTTTTTACTGTCAGTCCACCAGTGTGAGCTAAGATATTCGGAATTACGACAGCTGTAACATAAAAAAAAATACAGTACTGCTACTGTAAACACCATTCACTCTGGCGGTAGTTGGCTTGTTCGCTGAGCTGGACAATTTGATTGCAAACGTTTCATCACCAATCGAGGTGACATCATCAGTGCGTTTTTGTGGAGCGTAGTAGTGCGTAGCGCTACGCATTGCAATCAAATTGCCCAGCTCAGCGAACAAGCCAACGACCACCATCTACGATACCTGAGCTACCAACACCCTCCTCTATAGAAAACCATTCACTCTTTTGGGCGACGACATACGTTGCAAGTTCCATGTAAGAAAGTACCTAATATGGACAAAATCTGTCTGGCTAGATGTATTTCACCTAATGGACTGCCATACTAATGGCATATCCAAGTATCGCGTCTAGCCATGTTTGACATTTTACCATCCTTAAGAAGCCTTACATAAACATCTATGGTATACAGTTAAGTGTACGTACTCGATTCTTTCCATCCAAATCATTTATCTATGTGATACAGAACACCCCTTCAAAACTACAGTGACTCTAATTGCAGAGCCGTGTCACTGCTAATAGAATCCTTCATAGAAATTGGACGAGTTCAGGACAACTTCCCTGCAGCCCCGGTCAAGTGTGATGTTGCAACCCGTATTAAAATGGACTCATAAAAATGTCTGACGAAACAGGCTCTTCCCCAACAAAACTGATAGTTTAGCACCATTAAGAGCTGTCATTGGTAGTGCGAGCACGTGGCCGTATGACTCGCTGAGTTCTTTATCTGATCAATTTGGCCGAAAAGTTCGCAATAGTTTTCTGTTTGTCGGAATCCATCACAAACAATCCAGATCCTCCGTGATTAAGTTCATTTAAAAAATGTTATTCTCAGGAAGGCCTTGAACAACTGCGTTTTTTTTTCATGTAAAACACTCTGCTAAGTGACATTTCATTCCAAAAATACTAGATTCATTGGAGTGGTGAACATTTTTTGTCGCAGCTTCAATGAAATGGCATGCTGTTAGCAACATGTCTTCATGAAAGGTCACAAACACACTAGTGACCATAGATATGGGATATGTTATCACTTTAAAATTCGATATTCATATGTAGAGATTCACATCTTCAGGAAGCTGATTTAGGTTCTCCACAGAAAACACGTAAATGCCTAGCTTAGAAAAATTCAATTATCAGAACCGGCCGTACACACATATGAAGCTAACTACGTTTTTTGTCTGTTTACTGGACTCCAAATGTGGTCAGCACAGAATGTCATCGTCCTAGGTGCATTGTGTAACATTTTCTGTAAATCAAATCGCCACAGCTGCAGAGCGAACCGGATTCGGGACAGATTCTGAGTGTTCTGATTGTGACTGAAGGCATGTGTCCAGTAGTTAGGTAGCACCAAGGCTATCATCCCAAACGGTTCGTTATTTACATATAATTGGGGAAAATTGCTAATAGACCGTGCGCAGAAGCTTATACCAGTTAGGTGCCATTTTCAACACAAAACTACTTCACCAGTGGATTCTTAAAAGTTTTACCGGGATTCGATGCCTTGAATATCTAACTATGTGCTGAAGCAAAACCGCCCGACAGACTGAAACTGAAAGAAATACATCCAGTAGGAAAAACCCAGCAACCATGCCTATATTGTGCGATGTACATAAAACGTGGCGAATATGACTGAATTTATTTATTAATTTGCAACTTGTTACCGCCAAAATTTTACTCACAAGCTTGCTCTATGGTAAATAACTAATACAACCACTACAGTGATTGTATTCGGGCATTAAGCGCTGTCATTCCCACCTCATTCAAATCAGTTGCCACTCAAGTATCATTACTTATTCGGCATCGTGGTTTTTAATAGAAATCATCAGTCATGTGCATTTACGAGTTATCTATGAGCCCTTGAGGCACGCGTTTTCAGACAGAACTTTATAAACCTTTCAGCTGTGTGAGGACGAATTGACGGACTACAGCCTCTCAAAACTGTAGGCACAAGCGAACAGACTGAATTCAGCATAAGTGTTGTTTCTGGTTTTGGGTTTGTGGAAACGGACTCAGATTCTCGTGAAATATTCCAGTACAGAAAATCACACCTTGGATTTGAGGCAATAGACAGTTACTTAAAACATCATTTGTTCAATTTCCGCCATAGCTAATTCCAGGAATAAAGTCAACAAAAATAAATTTAGTACAGAACTGGTCAACATATCCTAATCGAACAATATATGAATCTCATGCAATATCCACAAAGCCATTTTGAGCCGTCATTCTAAAACTTTTGTAATTCAGCAAATACTATTTCATTTGGGCAGCCATGCTGTTCTGGAAACAAAGTTTCAGGAAATTACTTCCCCTTTTGTGCTAAGTTCTTTTATGGTTCACCCAGAACTCAGAACGATTTTTTTTCAAATACGCATGCAGAATTTAAACAATGATGCTTTTAAAGCATATGAATCAGGCAAGCAAAATTTTTTATCGTATTCTGTTGTGGTGTTAATTATTTTATTCCAAGTGCACTATACTCACATTTACAAGCAGTGCCGAACAGTGCAGCTTCTAAAAGCTTTACCACGGAAACAATTCCTTATTGGTGCCTTCTCAGTTCTCATGTTAACGCGCGCATAACCCTCTGTTCTATTTGTACAGTCGTATTGAGGTTTTCTGAAAGTCATTAAACCAAAACTTCAATAGGATTCCGGACATAAAACTGAGCAGGAAAGGCTTAGACGGATTACGAAACAAAAAGCTGAAGTATCCAATAGTTAACCAGTAAATTTGGAAACACTCTTCGCCCAGTCGTAAGTTTTGGGTATAGTCACTACACAAGCAAACACGCTCAACTCTGGTTGGTTATTTTTATCATCGCTTTGAAATAGTATTCGATCAATTACGATGGTATTTGGACTTGCTTACTTAAAACGAAACTTAAAGACGTGTGAAATTTTGCACCTAGTTCCTCACTGCATTCCATTGAGCAAGTAGTTCTTGGGTTGTGCGTGCACTACTAAAGTGTGAGAGACAGTTCTTCATCAGGTATGGTTTTGCTCTCTCGAAATGCTGACAAAAGTCTTGCAAATGATCATTTGACCTTGTGACTGCTCATTGGTTAATGTGCAGATCCACAGTTGTAAACCAACCGTGGCTTTATGACTGCTCTTGACTTAACCTCGGAAAGTTATATTGGAGAAGATAACGCGGTCGAGTCAAACTGCAGATGATTGACAGATAAATAATTTCACAGCACACCAGTTATGTTACTAATCTTTTTTGGCAAAGAAACAAACTAAAAAGGACAGCTAATTTCATCAGGCCAGGTAATCCATAGGTAAATGACTTTATGAACCCCGCTTTTAGCACAAGACTCTCATATCATTGCCAGCCCATCTGCTTGAGATACGATGGTGAGCCTGACAGCAGAAATAAAATGAGTGTTCCCTCGCTTTCCCTATAATGTAATTTAGCAAAAGAATCACTAATTAGATGACTTAGCAGTGGCATTAGAAGCAAATGTTACGCCGCTCGATCACTCTGCTAAGTTACAACTGGATCAGTTGTTGATTCATGGCAACGTGAGGAGATGTGGTAATTTTTAATAAATCTTTCATCTTGTAAACAAGACACGCTATGCAGCGGAGCTGTGTACAGCTGCTTCTTTCTTACTGCAAAGAACCAGCGATGCGCATCTTAAGAAGTTCAAGGGAGAATCGAGCCTGCCATCTTTCAGTGTGTAATGTGACCATTTAAGCGCTCGACCACGAGAGCCTGCCTGGCAGAATGATCAACTTGCCTTAAGACAGAAAACGGTACCACTCATCCTTCGATTGCGGAATCCGTACCCTGTGGTCACTGGTTACTAGCTGTCTAAGTAACAACTCCTCAAGCGGAAGTTTCACACATTGAGCGAATTTTATCCCTTTTCTGAACTACTTAGAATGGGTTCTGTAAAACATGGACTAATCATTCATGAGGAAAGCATACGCAACAATACAGTTAATTTGAATGGATAAGACCTAAAATTGCTTTCAGTTAAAGGAAGATTGCGATCCAGTACATTCGGATGATTGGTAATTCCTGTGGCTAATGCTTAGTTAACTGTATGTGGCACTATAGATATTTGCCATTTCAAGGACGGGAAGC